TATAACACCTATAATAGTAAGCTACTTACTATAGTAAAGGGCTTTAAACACTAGCGCTACTATCTAAAGAGAGCTGCCTATATAATAAAACTTCTAACAGACTATGCTAACCTCTAAGAGTTTATAACTACTAAGACCCTAACTAAGAAGTAAGCTTAGTAAGTAAAGTAAGTAGCTACTTTTAACTTCTAAATTTATTATTAACTAAGTAAGACTAACCCTGCTAATAGGCCTTTAAAAAGGCCTAATTATAAAAAAAGTAAAAAAAGTAATAATAAAAACAGCCTAGAATTATAGAAGTAGGCACTTTATAATCTGCAGCGTAAACTAAAGCTAGATAGGGCAAGATTACCCTAGAAGGGCCTAAGATAGCTAGAAATAGCAGCTGTTACTTAAGCAACTAAGATAAAAGCCTTAAGTACTACTAAAATAGTAAATAAAACCTAAAGCCTAAAAAGCTCTTTAATAAGAGTAATTATAAAAGGGCTTAAAAAAGATCTGCACACTAAAAGTGTAAAAAAGGCCTAGAAAAAGAATGTAAAAGACTAACTAAACTAAGTAGGTAAGTAGTTAGAAAAGAAAAAAAGACTTTTTACTTATAAAAAAAAAGACTTACATACTTAAAGAAGTAAAAATTTAAGCCTTTTAGGCCTACTATAACTATCCCTTAGTAGGCTATTTTAGATTTAGTAAAACTTTTTATTAAGTATAAAGGGACTTTTATTAGCTAGGTATGTAGTAATATACTAAAGACTACCTTAGCACATGCTAGGCCTGCTAACGTGTGAAATCCCTTTAACATGCCCTGTACAGGGAACTCTAGCCCCTCCTAGTCCCCTCTAGAATTTAGGAGAATATCTTTATAGATTTTATTATAAAGCTACTACCTAGCTAGTTAAATAGAAGGAGCTATAACAGTATTCTAGTTATAGTTAATTATTTCTTTAAAATAGCCTACTACATTTTTAGTAAGGGCACCTTAAAAGCAGCAGCTTTAGCTAAGACTTTTAAGCAGGAAATTTTAAAACTTTATAGCCTTCTTTTTTTTATTATAACAGACTAGAGAGCTTTATTTATATTTACTTATTAAAAAACATTTACAGCCTGCTTAAAAATAAAAAAACTTTTTTTTACTACTTTTTACTTATAAACTAATAGCTAAACTAAGCGCTAAAACTAAATATTAAAGTAGTATCTCTAAATATACTGCAACTATAAGTAAGATAACTAGGTAAAGATTTTTTCTAATATAAAATATGCTTACAACAACACTATCTATAGCTCTATAAAAATATTACTATTCTAGGCTGTCTATAGAAAGAATCTGCTGTCTATAAATATGCTAAAATAAGTAAAAAAAGCTAGTATTTCTCTATAAGTACTTTAAAATAGTAATAAACTAGCCTAAACTAGGCAGAAGCTAGCTAAACACCTTAGAATAGTGTAAAAGTACTAAAAGTAATAGCATAACAAGACGCATAAACATAAAATATACTTAGTAAAAAACTAAGTATACTTTAGCACTAAGAATATTACTACTTTTTAGCTAAAAAAAAAGCTAGATAATAAATATATAAGCCTTTAAAAAGTTTTTACTATACATAAGACTTAATTTTACTACTTAGACTTACTAGCTAGCTTCTAGATTTACTTAGTATTTTATATTAGCTTTCTTAAGCTAGCACCTCTAAGTTACTTATTACCTTATAAATAACCCCTAGCTAAGGTAGTAATACTCTAAGCAGAAACAGATATATAGAACGTAGACTACATTATAGACTAAAAGCTGCATAAGGGAATATAGCTATACAGAGTACACTAGAAAAAGTTTAGAGAGGAAAATAACTAACTACTTCTAGTAAAAGACATATCTAAGAGGGCTATAAATAAATTTTAGAGATAAGTAGAACTACTAGTATAAAGAAGAACAAAAAAAAAAAAGGCTAAATTAGGCTAAAAAAGACTAGACTAGAAGGAATAAACTTAGACTAAACAACTTTATAAAAGCTTAGAACATTTAAAAAAAACTTTTAAGCATTATAAACTTTAAAAACTTAGCTTATTTTTTACTATCTCTGTTTTTAAATACTACTAGATTAGTCTAGATTACCTCTAAACTAGCCTAAATACCTCTAAAAAAAAAGACAGATGCACTATAAAGCCTATACTTTACTAAAAAAACTTAAAAGAAAAGTAAGCTACTAGAAAAAATATAAAAAAAGTATAAAGTGCTATAACTATTTCTAAAGAAGCTACTGCTATGCAAAAATAAACTAAACTGTCTTAAAGAAGAAAAAAATAGCAGGTAAAAACCTAAAAAAAGCAAAACTTATTCTAGAGAGCCTAGACAGGCCTAGAGACCCCTAGATCTGCTAGACTAATGCAAAGAAAAAAAAAATGCTAAAAAAACTAAAAATAAAAGTAAATAATCTGCTTTATTCTTAGAAAATGTTTTACTTAAAGTTAAAAGTATTAAAATTATAAGTAAAGTTAGTTTTCTATATGCTTTACTTACTTTTATAAAATTCCTTAGCAAAAAAAAAAACTTAAGCTTAAAAAACACTAAAATTAGTAGTAAAAGGCTAAGTACCCTAGACAAGGTTAGACTGCTCTAGAAGAGCCTAGATAAGTATAGGTTAAAGAACATATAGTGCAGACACGCTTAAAGACTAGAGAAAGAGGTCTTAAGCTATTATTATTACTTATTTCTTTTTTACACTTTACTAATGCCTTTTTTTTTACTTTACTAAGACTAATAATACCTAAGTCCCTAAACACCTTCTTACTAATATAAAGGGGGGTTAAGGTGTTACTAGCTATCTTGCTATAGACAAGCCTAGTAAAAATTAGTCTAGAAACCTCTAAAAAGCTCTAAAAACCTTTAAAAAAACCTAAAAAAGTCTAAAAAGTAGCTAGAGATTATAAACTTATTAAAATAAATAATAACTTTATTAACTTTTTTATAAAAACTTTTAATAATGTCTAGTAAGTACTTTTAAGTGTTATTAAAGTTAATTTAGGTCTTAAGCTAGAAAAAACTACTAAAAATAGTGCTTATAATAGTTATAATTACTAAGTAATAGTCTTCTAAGCACTATAACTTAAAAATTAGTAAAAAAAACTAAGAAGCACCTTAGAGACCTCTAGACAGCTATAAACAACCCTAGGATAACCTACTTAATAGTAGTCTCTGCTACTCTTATAGCAGCTATTGCACTTTAAGAGGTTATTAGTGCGCTTAGGCTCTAACAAGCTTTAATAAATATAAGTATTATAAGTTTAAATATTATAATCCTCTTTAATAAAAAAACAGCATAGTAGAATTATGCCTAGCTTATGCGCTATAATCCTGCCTATAATTTTATTAAAGTAAGTTAAGTAAAGATTAATAGTAGCTAAGGCTTTATTTATAGCTAAAGTAATCCTATCTAACTACTTGCTAGCTAAGAAAGACATTATTAGTAGTAAAATATGCAAGACAGGGCTTAGGGGGCCTAGAGGGGCCTAGATTAGGATAAACAGAACTAAAGGCCTTAAAAATAGGACAGGGGATAGCTAGCTAAGGTGGCTAGCTAAGGAAGAATCTAAAGGCAGTTAGAATAGGGACTCTCTAGGACAGACAGAGCTTTATATAGGGTCCTCTGGCCTAGGGGGGCCCTAGAACACCCTAGGAACCCCTAGGAAGGCCTAGGGGCTCCTGCAGAAAATCTCTCTAAAATACATACTAGAAGCGTAGAGTAAAGTGTAGGTGTAATAAAGGATTTAGCTTAGTAAAAAGTATTTAACCTTTTAAATTAAATTTAAAGTAACATAAAATTACATAACTTTTAAACCTTAAAAAAGGGCTTAGATTTAGGCGCAAAGTTACACTTTAGAAAGAGATAGGGCTTTATAATAACTAGCTATCTAGGTGTTTCCTAGGCTGTTATAGACTTGCCTAGACTACACTAGGCAGTCCTAGACAACTCCTAAACTGTGCTGTTAACCCTACACTTCCTAGATAATGCCTACCTTGCCTAAAAAGCCGGGCATCCTAGACAGGTAATACTTTGAACTGGACCTACAGCATACTAGATCTGTCGCTACCAGCGCTGCCGTGCCTGGCTCTCTAGAGAAGTATATAGCCAGTTGTAGAAGCCCTCTTTAGATAGCAGAGGATCGCCTTAGGAATTAGGCGGGTACTAATTGTACTCCTATGTCACAGTCACGCCCTTGTTGGTCAATACACCTCTTAATTGCGAAGTGTATACCCTGTTTTTTACAAAACAGCAGTCTAGCTGTTAGTGTTGTTTAAGGGCTTTAAGAAGTAGCAGCAAGGGCAGTGTTAATGTCTTAGTAGCTAAGAAAATCTAGTATTATATCTGCTAATAGATAGTCTTACTTATAGAACTTAAGTAGATCTTTATTGCTTAGTTTTACAGCTTTATAGAGTAATATAATCTCTATTTTGCAGATTAAGTAGGTACATATATATTCTTAATCCTTATTCTTTTCTGCGTATATAAAGCTGCATGTTGCTAGCTGCGTTAGGGATGCAGCTACGCATTTCTATGTAGATAGGAACGTGGTGTGATGTAACTAAATTATTTAGAAGGATTGCAACGCGTTAGACAATAATAGTGAATTAGTTTAGCATAGGTAAGACAGTGACAGTAAAGCGGTTTAGTGTGTATACGTGTTCGATGGCGGCGGCGAGGTAGGTCGGCTCGATGGAGGTGATGCAAGTGACGATAGAGTCTCAAATATATTCGAATTTGCTCCTGCTGCCATTTTTCCTCCGGGAGAGAGGTCACATACGGCGTAGTGCTAAAGCCACAAGTACAAAAAGTCATAGCGCGGAAAACAATACGGCTAGCTAAGCATTTAATACTATACTACGTAAGCACGCTAAATTCTCAGGCCAAGACACACTGCAGGCCCTTTCTTACGGATAAATCCGGAATATATCCTTTAAAGAGCTAAGTGCTTTAAAAGCTTAGAAACGCCTTCTTCCCTTCTGAATGTACTACTCAAATACTCCGAAGATAAAGTTTTTGTAGATAGTCGTAGTGCAGCAGGGGTGTAGTGCTAACGCAGTTCAAAATGCTCTACAAAGAACGATCTACGGCATAATCAAGAGCGTTGTATTTTTTTAATTGCACACCGGTTTCCTGGAGAGAAATAGCCAGAGAATAGTAAAAATAAATTATAACTTGATAGAATGGCAGGGAAGAGAGCTGAGATGCTTAAACAATAGTTTCTTTGCGGCACGGGGGGCTTTGCGGCACGCAGGGGGGGACATTAGTAGATCTCTGAAATTCCCGTGCTAGGAGGGCCCCATTTTGTGTATACGCTAGTAAGATTTGATGTCGTCGGCGGTCACGATGGAGTGGAGCGACTTAAACTAGCGCCACGCCTAAGTCGACTATCTAGTCTGTCTGAGTCCAATTCGTTTGTCGCATCCCCACTCGTCTACATAGATAAAATCACAGGACCGAAATACTGACAGAGTATAGAGATATAAGTCTCACAGATCTGGGTTCTACTTATTTGCTACTTAGCCGCAGTATTCTTAGACCAACTGGATGAAGCTAAAGCCCTACTTGTGCTACTGGCCGTGAGATGTGTCGCACGTGTATCACGTGATACTATACCCATGTACTACGTTATTCACTCATCAGGATTAGCTCCTTTCTCGTACAGTATATAGTCACCCCAGAGCTCTCTTGAGCTCCTTAGACCTTACAATACACTTGTTCAATTCACCCAGTTTGGATCTCAATACCTTGTTGACTTGCCTACCCCATGACCCCTGCTCAGTTCGTGCAAGAGTTATGAGCCTGGAGTTGCGCTTCTGACTAGTACTATAGTCACCGCTATACATTAAACTCTTGGATCTGGCTGATAGGGGCCCTGCGAAGTTCAACACATACTGATCACAGCTTACTCACCAGCTAAGCCCGATCGACTGAACGACGACCTACTTGTCGATATCGCGCCCAGTTTGCTAGGCGCAGTCCTGCAGCTGCTCAACCAGCTCTCCTTGTACGACCTCCCCACCGCCATATTGACGAAAGATTCGACGACGCGCACAATGATTTCTATAATCGCGCAAAGATGGCATCAACGAGCGACACCTCTGTAAAGCTTGTTAACAAAAGCGACTGGCAGCTCTGGTATAGTCGCATAAAGGATAAAGCAACAAGAGAGCAGATTTGGGAGTACATCAATCCTGACCTCACTGAGGGAGACAATGTCACCCTTAAAACGAATACTAGGCTAACTAGGCCCCGATCAGTCGACGTTCACACTGGTCAGAATCCACTCTAACTGAACGCTACCTTCCTCGACCTGAGAGCTTTGACCGTACGACTAAGTTGCGTGACTGTACGATTGAGCCAGCTGATAATAGCTGTTGTTTCCGCCCCTTCCGCGTCCTCTCCCTCTACTGCCTCCTCTTCCTTGGTTTGGCTGGTCTCTTAGCGCTGGAGGAAGGTCTCTGTTCCTGAGGCGCTTGGCTTCTGCCTTGAGCTGGGCATCGCTGCTCATGCGCTTGTTGTACTCCTGCTGGAGGAAGGTAGGGATCTGGTATCCCTCAGGTCTTAATTGAGGATCGTTGATCCTGCAGTTCTTCGTTTTGTGTCAACCCCCGCACAGGCCGCATATAAACTGCTGTTGCTGCTGTTCCGGTGTGGACGAGCGTCCCTGGTAGGTGGCGAAACCACTGTGGGTGACGCCAGGTTGCTGAGCTGGCATTGATCGTTGCCAGTTCTCGAAGAAGTCCAGTCAGCTAGTGACGAAGTTGAGTGGATTTCCGTCTGTCTGCTCATGCTGGACTAGGATTGATTGGATGGCTGCTACGCATCCTGTGTTGACGTCCATGATCGCCGATACGAAGTCGTAGTGCGGCTGATAGTCTGCCACATTAGGCAGATTGACCGATTTCGCGTCGAGGTATGCATGTCGGTACTCCTTCAACCAGGAATCCTGTTTCTTCCTTGATGACCATTTCCTAACGTGGTCATAGTTCGTACAAGCAGCTTGCTTGAGCTGCTTTTTTGAGGGCTCAAGATTCTCTTTGAGGGCCTTCAATCAATGATAGATTGTATCATGGTCCATAATAATGGGATAGTTGATCTGGTCAACTGTGCTCTTGATGAGCGAATAGATGTCCGATAGTGCTTTGTTACGAGCCTCATAGTTCTTGAGGTTATCCTTGAAATCATCTCGAAGCAGTTGGAAGCGTCGCTGGTCAGCAGCTCCCAGGTCGAGGAAGGTAGCGTTCGGTTGGATTCTGACCCGTGTGAACGTCGACTGGTCGGGGCCTAGTTAGCCTAGTATTCGTTTTGAGGGTGCCATTGTCTCCCTTAGTGAGGTTGGGATTGATGTACTCCTAAATCTGCTCTCTTATTGCTTTATCCTTATGCGACTATACCAGAGCTGCCAGTCGCTTTTTTTTTTAGCGAGCTTTATAGAGGTGTTGCTTGTTGATGCCATTTTTGCGCGGTTTTAGAAATTTTGTGCACGTTGTCAAATCTTTCGTCAATATGGCGGTGGGGAGGTCGTACAAGGAGAGCTGGTTGAGCAAGACTGCGCCTAGCAAACTGGGCTTGGTATCGACAAGTAGGTCGTCGTTCAGTCGATCGGGCTTAGCTGGTGAGTAAGTTATGATCAGTATGTGTTGAACTTCGCAGGGCCCCTATCAGCCAGATGCAAAAGCTTAATGTGCGGCGGTGACTATGGTACTAGTCAGGAGCGCAACTCCGGGCTTATAACTCTTGCACGAGCTGAGCAGGGGTCATGGGGTAGGTAAGTTAACAAGGTATTGAGATCCAAACTGGGTGAATTGAACAAGTGTATTGTAAGGTCTAAGGAGCTCAAAAGAGCTCTGGGGTGACTATATACTGTACGAGAAAGGAGCTAATCCTAATGAGTGAATAACGCAGTACATGGGTATAGTATCATGTGAGACACGTGCGACAAGATGGACCCCAATCTCGTCCCCCAAGAATACATCTACCTTATCCAAATATTGACCTAGTCGTTTCATGAGATATTATTGTATGGCTTTGACTATGGAAGGAATGATAGACCGAGTCCGTCTGACACCGTTTGGAGGAGCTTTGGTGTTACCCAACACATAGAGGATAGAGTGTAACTGTGGTATGTAGGCTATTGAGGGTGTATCGAACTGTGAAGGGCACTGTTAAGAAGTATATAGTCAAGGGTCGAAAATTAATCAGTGATGGTCTTAGATCCGGCTCACAGTGTCGCTGTAACCGACCGGCTGCTCCAGCCCCCAACTCTGGTTATTTTAGCAGTATTGAGTGACTTACTGTGGATCATTGCATAGAGTTTCAAACACTTCCCGGATGCTAAGCTCAGTGCTAAATTTAAGAAACCGGGAGTCACCTCTTTACCGCACAGTTGGTCTAAGCAGAGCGCGTTTAGCTCATGTACGTAGAAATCTAAAAGATTTGCTTACAAAATCGCTGAATACTCAAGCCGGTTTCAAAGTCAATTTGATTTTTAATATATTAATTTATAATATAATATTTTAATATGAATAGTATTTGAAATTAGTTACCATCCTAGAATAGCATACAAGAGAAGTACAGCAGAAGGCGGAGGGTTGGGTGGTAGGGATTTTTGATGAATAGTTATCCTAACGAATCAGTTCTGGCTAGAGAACCTTAACCACCGCCTAGTATCTTGTCTCTGACGCTGTCATGGCCGTTCCTGTCCTTGGAGTCCGCCTCGACATCGCCCTGCTCCACCAGCAGCTTGACCACCGCCTCGTGCCCTTTCCATGCCGCCCATGACAGCGGCGTCCGGCCATCCCCGTCCTTGGAGTCCGCATCAACATCGTCCCGCTCCACCAGCAGCTTGACCACCACCTCATGCCCTCCCTCTGCGGCCCACGATAGCGGCGTCCGGCCGTACCCGTCCTTGGAGTCTGCCTCGACATCGTCCCGCTCCACCAGCAGTTTGACCACCGCCTCGTGCCCTCCCCTTGCCGCCCATGACAGCGGCGTCTGGTCGTCCCCATCCTTGGCGTCCGCCTCGACATCGTCCCGCCCCGCCAGCAGCTTAACTACTGCCTCGCGCCCTCCCCCTGCGGCCCATGACAGCGGCGTCCGGCCCTCCCCGTCCTTGGAGTCCGCGAATATTGATTTTTCTTTCGCAATCCTGGAAAGAAGTTCCTTAGAAAATTCCAACAGTCCGAAGGAGGCCGCTAGATGTAGACCTGTTGCTTGCTTTGGAAAAGATTGACTGTAGTTCCGGTATTTGTAGTCTGGAACTAAACTTGATTGGACAGCACAAGCGACCAAACTAATATCCTGAAGCAGACATAATGCTAGTTTAGATACCCTCTCTTGCACAGCCAACGCGTGTTGCCCCCAGTATCGAGCAGAGTAATCTAGGAATATGTTTTGCTCAAGCCTGCTCTCGAACGCTGCGTTGCTTGGACAGCTACCACTCCTAAAGGGTTTAAAGCATAGATACCTGATACAAGACGATGCAATTCCGTACTGAGCGCTATAATTCCACCTCTCTCGGATCTGCTCGAAGTATTCTTGCGTAGTGTAGTGGACGAGACGGATAATATTGCTCTCCTCATCAATCGTAACGAGGCCAGCACAGACAGAGACAATATCGTCAACGTGAGGAATGTTTTCTTGGTCGAGTTCTTCTTCCTCTAACTCCACCGCTAAGGCATGGCATAGTTCACCAGTGGTTAACGGCCTCTCTGCATGCGAGATCCAGGAAAGAACGCTCTTTGCTCGCGCCGTATTTCCAGGTAGCTGACTCTCTATTCTCTCGATCGCCTCGTCATACGCTTTGTTAAGCGCTTCAGAACCTCTAGAAAGGTTCTTTAACGTAGACCGGACTTTCTTCTTGGTGTCCTTATCAAGTAATGAATCCACATGAAGACGGGCAAGAAGAAACCTTGCAGGCTTGTAAGTAACTAGACTCAAAATAGGCGTGCGAAATACTGACATGCCATCTACTGCTTCAACTATTTTTTCTTGGACTAATTTCTGAAGATTGTCGTCGCGTTGGATACATCGTGGCAGCCGGTGAGTTTGGCCAATAATGAATTGTTCGACATCTGCGTTGCGTGCGCGTACCTCTAGCGTAGGCACACCGTTGAAGATATCTACTATGCTTGGAATAACTCGCGAAGTAGCCATTAAACGGAGGCCTGTTTTGTTCTGCAGACCGCGGAGCTTGTCTAGAAGCTCTTTTCGATTGTCATCAAGACATTCGTCTAGAGCGTCTACAATTACATATACCCTCACATAGGTTGTAAGCACAGAGTGTAAAGTGCTAAGAATGTCATTGAGGGATGGCTTAGTCCCTCGGTTGGTATGGTGGTTGTATAGACGTGTTACAGGCTCTGTGATCGAGGCTCTTGCCTGCACTAGCTGTTTAATGATAGCTGCTAGCAGGTAGGTGGCATTTTGATCTGCGCGCGTTTTGTAGTTACAGAATACGTAGGCCACTCCGATATTGCGACTTTGCACTTTTGTATAAAGATGGTCAACTGCAATTGATGCTAGCATTGTTTTGCCAGCTCCAGGGATACCGGGACAGAATAGACTCTGGTTCGATCCGTGAACCCATTCAGTGAATTCAGCAGCGTTGAGGAACCACAGGCCAGTTTCTTCTTGTCTTCGGGCGATAAGATCGGATTGTTGAGCTGGGAAGTTGCTTGATGATATCCATTCCAAAATCTTGTCACGCTGTTGGTCTTGCTGAATTGCACCGACTCCTATCTTAATTGCTTTGTTGTCACCGTGTATTATATCCATGTCGTATTTAATTACTTGCGACAGTTTACTACAGATATAAGCAACATAAGCCTTTACCATATCTGATAAGAGAACCTACAGGTGGTCCATTTCTAAGGCAATCTGCACGAGCGACTTCAATCGCTCTATCTTTAACAGTATGCGTTCAATATCCTCTTTGATGTACTTCCACAGAAGGGTCTTGCCTATCTTCTTCATTCCGCGCCCATCTGATATCTTATGCTTCAGCTGCTCTAACGCACATTTGTATTGATAGAGGAGCCCGTCCTTTCCGCCGAGCTCTTGGATCTTTGCATTCCACGGTTCATTAGAGTCGTCATCGAGGTAAGACAATAGATCGACAAGGAGTTTTGAGAGATTCGATATTTCGGTTGTGAACTGCGTACAGTCCGCCGAGGTGTCCGAGGCATTACTCAGACACTTACCGACTTTCATCGTCAACTATATAATAGCGATAATGCTGGCTGTAACGCTGAGTGGGTCCATCGAATGGCGAGTTTCTGCGACAAACCTAGTTGTGGTCGTTGTAGATGAGAATAGATAAGGTTTGTGCTAAGTAACAGGACGGCTAAGTGGTGTTGCAGGACTGCATTCGCTCTGCGATGAGAGAGTCAAAACTAGATAGTGCAATATGATAAGATATTGATGGCGCTTATGGCTTGCGAAGACTTCATAATAATGGGAATTGTGTGTACGTTGTCTTGAACCCCAAGTTTCTAAGGGTGCCTAGCTACGCGCACCGCCACTTCGCCTGTCGATGAGACCTTTACGAGGAGCCATTGCTGCCTTCCGAGCACTCACCCTTCCTTTAACTTTTGATGATGTGAGGAGGCTTCTAACACTAAAGCCACCATAGTCTTGGGACAAGATGCCTCCAGTACACCTATTCCGGGACCAAATCCAACAGGTGACGCTGCTCTGTCATTGGAGAATGAGGTTTCCATGCAGCACATCTCCACACCGAATAGGCTCTGTAACCAGTGTGCTAGCCTTGACTTGGAAAGAATCTTTGCTTCCACGATATTTCGCATCCTGTTGGAAATTCTAGAGCGGTTCCATTCCAACACAATCTCGTTAGAATCTCATTGTTCCCTTTGCCGGTTTCTCGCTTCAGTCAACCAAAACACGTCGTCTTCTACAGTCATTCCAAAAAGTCTGTCCCATGGCCTGAGCGCTCGGCTGTGGTCCCCTAGACCTTGAAAAAATTTCCCCTACCTAATTTAGTAGTACAATTGTTTACCTGCTGTCTCCCTATCTACAAACTATACCTACTTAATTTAGTAAGGCTATTATTACTTATATACAAACTTGTCTTAATATTAAGATATTAGTTCTTTAAATTATAAGAGACCTAAGTATATCTTATAAGCCTGTTTATAAGATCTGTACTAGCTTAGATCTATAGGGCTGCCTGTATCCCCTGTTAACACTAAGACAGGGAAGACCTAGAGTAATACATAAAGGCTAGCTCTAAGTAGGTAGTAACTATCTTAGTCTTTCTTTTAGTATTATGCTAATGCTTTTATAAGGCTTACTTACCTTTTTTAAAAATTACCTTACTACTTATCTTAATAAAATGTAAAACTTTTTACTTAATAAGTATAATATAAAAGTGTTAGCTAGTATAATATATAATTAGCTATTAAATGTGTAATAGTCTAAAAAAGTTATTTACTATTATTCCTTAAAGTGCAGTTTAGAGCTAAGAAATGCCTAGTGTCTCTATTAGTAAGGCTAGCATATAAACTAAATTATATGCCTTAATAAATCTAGATATAACTTTTATACTAGAGATAGAAGACATAGGTAGAGTCTTATTAGTAAAAACTATAAAGTTTATAGCTTAATTATCTGCTTATAAAGATAAAGTCTTTTTCTAGCTTATACTATAAATAGTTATATAACTTATATAATGTTTTAAAGTAGTAGCATATTATAAATTTTTAAAATTTTTTTTAAGCATTAAGTGCTACTTCTTTATAGCTTATACCTAAGGTTAAAGTTAGTTATAGTACTAAATAACACAAGTATCTATTAATTAGACTATGTAAGAGACATCTATAACAGAGCTAGTGTAATACTAGCGTTTTTACTTTTATATTTACTTAATTTTAACTTAATTAAGTTGTTCTTTACTATATTAAAATTATAGCTTAAAAGGAACTATTAGTTAGTAGATAACTTTAATAACTATAAAAACTTTTTTAAGTATACTATACAGCAGTATTACTACTAAGAATTTAAAGTAATATTTAAAGCTGCTAAATATAAAGAATAAATAGTTTATATAATTATGTCTTATCTAAGTCCTTTTTATTAAGCCTATCTCTATACTGCTTCTAGGCAGCCTTTAGTTCTTTTTTAAAAAAAAGTAGCTTTTTTTTTTTTTAGCTTAAAAAGAGTTTTTAGCTTAAAGTAGTTATATTTATTATAGTACTTTTTTTATTACTTTTTTATTATTATGCTTAGGTTTTTAAGTGTATTAAAATCTTAGTTATTTTTTACTAATATATAACTTATCTACTTAAGCACATCTACTATGTAAGTAGGAGTTAAAGGCTAAGCCTTTTACTACTTAAAAAAGCGCTTAAAGATGTTAGTATAGTTATAATTAAGCATTTTAAGAGGACTTAAAGGCTGCCTAGTGTGTAAAGTAAGCTAAAAGAAGTAAAAAAGTTAAAAAAATGTTAGTAATAGTAGTAATAATTAACACATGCTATATAGTAGTTAGAGCGTCTCTAGCTTAATTAGCTAAGCAATTAGCAATAAAGTAACACTAGTAAATAAAAGAGAAGATTATGCTTACTTTTTTTACTATTTTACTTTTAGTTTTTACTTTTTTTACTTATAAAAGAATATAATAACTTATTTAGATAGTTTATTATAAGTTACTTTTAGTAAAGTAGCTTATATATTAGCTATTTATTATTATAAGTTATTACTATCTAGAAAGTAGTACATATTAACATAATTCTTATTACTCTGCACTTAGTAGTAAGTCTTATTACTTTTATTTTTATAAAGAGAATTATAACAGAGCTATTTATTAGTTAAAGTAATTTAATAAGTTATACTAATCTCTTGCTAGGCTAAATGCTTATTAAGGCTATTAAGCTAGCATTAAGTAATAGATAACATTAATTTTTTAGCTTTAGTTTAAAATAATAGTATTACTATAGTAATAAAAAGCTTTACTACTTTAGTTATAACTATTTTAATATTTATAAACTACTCTTTTTTTGTTCTACAGCAGAAATAGTAGTTTTTAAAATAATCCTTTAACATCTTTACTAAAGACTTTATATTAGCTTTACTAGAGATTTTTATTACTACTATATTAGTAGTAGCTTTACTACTGTATGTAGCCTTACTAGTTACTATAGTTGCTTTATAAACACTAGGACTAGCTGCTTAGGCGTTCTAAAGTGTTCTCTTCTTCTACTATTAAAGCTGTAGCTAAAGAGTAGCAGTATTACTTTTTTTAGTAAAAAGATAACAGGCATAAGAGCTAGGTAACATCTCCTTAATATAGCCCCTTAAGATGTACGCCTGCTATTAAGCTGTATACTTTAGTGCTAGCAGATCTCTAGTGTTTTCTTATACCTACTTATCTATTAACAATAAACATAACCTTTATAACGCCTCTGTGTTATTAGGTTGTTATACTTCTACTATAACCTCTCTCTATATAACCTTTACTAATAGTATAATAAAATTATTTATAGCTAACTTAGCTAGCTTTTTATCTTTTAATCTAATAAAGTCCTTATTAACCTTAGCTAGCTACAAAAAATAGATAAATTATAAAAGTTAAAAAGACTAAAAAAGCTAAGCTAATAAGAGGACCTTTTTAAAAGCAGCAGCAGCTATTAACTAGAAAGAAGAACATTTTTAGACTAATTAGCTAGCAGTAGTAGTAAGAAAGTGTTTTTAACTATTATAAAAAAACTAGCTTATTTTAGTAGGCTGTTATTAATTACCTAATTAGAAAGAAGCTGCAGCGTTAAAATTAAATAATAAAGGATTTTTTAGGCTTTTCTAGAGCTCTAGATGCGTGGTTAGGGGTTAGGGAAAGGCCTGCAGTACTAATTTAGGTGGGGGGGATTTTTCCGAGTCCCCTGAGCTCATAAGCGAGTGCTCAGGCCATGGGACAGACTTTTTGGAATGACTGTAAGAAAGCTGCTTGGTATTGCATTTGCGCCGTGTCGTTGCTGCGTTTCCGTGTTCAAGGGCCTTCCCAAGCAACGTCTTCGTACCCAACAATACAGGATGCAAACCTTTGGGTTCTTCTCCTATGTGATTCCTCTATAATACTTCCTGACTCTTCCTGTTACCCGGAAAGGTGGCTTAAAAGCTCCGCTATGCTGCAGGCTACATACCACTTCAGGATTCAGATTCTCCCGTAGTTCCAGGAAGTACTGAAGGGAAATATCGTGTACGATTGTTGGGCCCACAAGGTATTGAATACAAGGTCTTGAAGAGATAGCTCACATTCTGCGCACAGAATCATGTTCTAAACTGCGCAAAGACAGGAGGCTGCGACACCATGGCTCTCGTCGATCTGCCCTATGTTGCGGAATTCTTCGCCGTGTTGTATGTTTGGGGCCCTCCGACTCCTGGCCCAGTCATAGCTCCTCCAAATCCTCAAGAATATTTACCGAGAGATATTCCTTTAGCAGTTCAAGACGCCATTACTGTCACGAGGTCGCTTGGGTTTCGGTACCTCTGGGTAGATCGATACTGCATCAGCACAGATGCTAGAGTTAGGCATGAACAGATCAATAGCATGGACGTAGTATACCGCCTTGCATACGCCACCACCATAGCAGCGGGAGGCCAGCATCCCTCATACGGTCTCCCGGCGTGTCCCACCGCCCACGGAAACCCCAGCCACGAGTGCAGATCTGCAACAAAACGCTCGTATCATGCCTACCCGATCCCGGAGTAGGAATCCAGAAGTCCAAATGGTCAACCCGAGCATGGACATATCAAGAATGCCTGCTATCACGCCGCCGCATCTTTTTCACTTCCGAGCAAGTCTATTTCGAATGCATGGTTATGTATTGCTGTGAAGCCATCGATGAACCTCTCGAGGCGCTGCACATACTCTGCAGAACCAGCTTCCGATCTTGCATTCGCGATGGCCTGTACCCTTAGCGTACTGGGGAAAGCGCACAAGGAGGTATGGAATCGGATTGCAAGAGTACACACAACGATCCACGACGTATGATTCCGATGCCTTGAACGGCATGGTCGGCCCCTCCGTACCTTCAAAGGTATCGGGCGCCCCGTTTTCCATCTTGGGGGGATCCCGTTTTTCAACGCTCCTGGTAGCGACGCCCTCCAATGGCGGAAAACCACGAATACTTTCGTAACATCACTATGTTGGCATTTACAAGCTCCTTCATCAAGGCGAGCCGGATTCCCTAGCTGGTCGTGGACGGGATGGAAAGGCGCTGTGGACACGCGATTTCCGAGGAAGCTGCTGGACGAGAATATCACTTGCAACAATCGGCTACAAATTGGGATACGAACTATTGATGGAACTATCGCCTGGGATGAAGTACGTCAGAAATGCAAGTCGGAAAAGTTTTCCTCTACCTATGCCGGGGTTCTTATGTTTAGTGCACTGACTTTCCCACTGCTCTTCCCACTGCTCTTCTCCTACACCGAAGATTTGGGCTGGTCTGTGAAAATATCAGATCGGACGGGGAGGCCTTCCACAAAGCAAAGAGAGTGTTGGATTTGCAAGGATACCACTTCTGATCCTGCATTCCGCCAGGTTGCAGTAACTGGGGCCTTCACTGGAATTATAATTTGGAATATATCCAAAGGAACGAATGACGTGGAGCGGCTAGTGTTGGTCGTGGGCGAGTCCATGAAAGACGACATGTATGCTGAACGCATTGGTTTCTGTGGGTTGATGAAAGAAAAGTTTCGCCATTTTCCAAAATGGCACCGGAAGATACTTGTTGGATAGATACAATATGGTGAATGCCCTGTAGCTTCGGTTAGGGCAATCATCTGGGGCATATAAGAACCTCCTATTACGGGACTGAATTGGAAGTGGCTTCCTCTGAACATCTAGCAGCCCAATAACTTCCGTTGTAAATACAGTGGCTTTTGCTGTATATAGAGTAGATCCGTATTTCTACAGCCACAACACCTGGCTTGGCATTTCATTGTGGGCTGAATGATTTACATTAGTTCTATATACTATCTACCCACCAGCCCGCTTATATTCTCTTACGAGCATACGCTTAATTAACTTAATGAGGTTAATGGGAGATACCCATCTACCCGCATATCCTTCTATTACTAGTACGAGCTAGAGTGATGGTGAGATCAATAAAGTGCCGAGACAGCGTAGACGATGTATCGAGGCCTTTAGATCCTATCATCCAAGCTCTAGGCTAGGCGTATTACATATCTAGGAAGGGGCTATAAATATAAAGCTTGCAGCAACTTGCTTTCCAACCGCGAAAGTAGGGATTTTCTAATAAGATTGAGCATAGGAAGTAATCTTACCTGTATACTGCTTCAAGTCCGTTTCCGGAAGTAGCCTCTAGGTCCCTACTCGTAGCTTTCAATCCTGCAGCTTTCGATCAACGATGGTAATCTCGAACCACATAACCATATAACCAGTTCTATTCTTCCCCCAAACACCCGCCCACCTAGAACTCATCTACAGAACTCATCCACTCACCCTCTTGGACCCACGTATTCACTATTTTCCACCCTTAGCCCCACCATTTAAGAGTATAGTTAACAGAACAGAGCAGTTTCACACACACAGGGCAACCCAAGCACTAGCGAAGCATAAACACAGAAATCAAATTGGTATTCACAATCCCCATGCTGTCCCCTCCTACCCAAAGTCAAGCCAAGCCAAGTCAAGCCGAAAGTAAGCAGCCGAAAAGCAGAACAAACAGAACACCATGCTCATGCCCATGCCCATGCCCATGCTCGCAGCCAACAAAAAGCCCCAGGCATACATACCGCCTACAGAGAAACCGCACGCCAAACCTCAATACCAGGCCAGGCAAGACAAGACCAGAAATCATCAACAGGAAATACAGAGAGAAGAACTCCTCATATATCATTCTCACTCATACAATCCATCAGTCAATCATCCATCGGTCCAGAAACGAAAAAACATCTCCCCACAGCCATGCCGGCGAGTCCCAAGCAGGCCACTCGTGGCACTCAACCCCTCCATTTAGCCCTCATTTCATGCACATTACATATTGTCTCTGTCGTACATGTAGATACAACCCGTCAATCGTTCAACACCCCGGCCAACCCCCTCAACAAATCTGCCGCCCCAATTCTCTCACTGCCGACCTTCTCCTTCCCCTCCTTATCCCTCTCCTCCAGTCTTAATGCCGCAGTACTTAGAACACGGTCCGCGACTCTCTCGGCTGTGGTACGGTAATTTTGGATTTTGTGCACGCCATCTGCGAATAAATCGACATTAGGCTCGAGGGCGGCCGAGAGGGTTAAAAGATGCGATTGTAGTGCTGATACGGTTGTGAAAGAGAATTGTGGGCGTGTGGGCGGGTGGGCGGAGGGTGGAGGGAGGTCTAGAGATGAGGACGAGTCGGAGGGTTGTGGCTGTAGTTGTGATGGCTGCAGCTGCAGAGCAGCCAGTATTGAAGCTTGTGTGGGGTCGAGGAGTGCGATATCGATGTCTTCGAACGAGGGATTGGGTGTTGATATCGAGGGCGGGGTTGGCGGAGGCATGAGATTCGACGTTACAGTCAGGGCTTCCCATGCAGCCTTTTCTTCCTCGAGGCTGGGGTATTGTAAGCATGAGCATGCGTCTGGAGCTCCAGAGCAGAGGTATTGAAAATGAGACATACCGTTTGATCTCTTCTTCAAGATCTTGGAGTGTGGCTTGGTTCTTGAGGTTTTGCAGATTGGGTTTCTTGACTACAGCTAAGGGCGTGCTATCTTCCTGTTGCAATTGTCAGTTGAAAAACATCCCTCATGCACATAGAAGCTGTGGGCTGCGACATACCCTGCTGAACCAGTCTGAAAGCTCGGGTTTGTTTGCGAAGTCGTCTATAAGCTCTTGTTGTATTGCACGCGCTAAATGACGCATTAGCAATCTGGGTGCTAGTGCCTGGACGCTCCAAGAGAGAGGAGGAATGCTCACCCGCCATTATGGCATTCACGTCTTTGACGTCACCTGACGGTTTCTCTGGGAGTGCTCTTGACCCGCACCAGGTGAGCAGCTGCTTCATCCGCCTCGGCTCGGGAAGACTTTGTTCGATGTACTTGTAGAATTCTCGGATTTCGACCTCGGAATGCGGTAGGGCTATGGACTTGTCAGTCTCCAAACCTTCCATCGTTATATTTGCAGAGACCGAGCGTTGTGTAAAATGGCAATGGGTGAACTTCAGGTAGACTCACCATTCGACAACCCACTGTCAATCAGCGAGCTCGCTCTCCTACCCCGTAACCCAGTGCTGCTCCTCCTCCGCCCACCCTTGCTCCCTTTTCGCATATCCTTGTTTCTCAAAATGACAGGAGTATCTGCAAATGGCAGCTTGATCTTTTCTTTATGTTCGTTGACAACCCAGGGTTGCACGGGAGTCTGCACGCCTAGTAACGCGCTCCTCTCCCCTGGCTCCGGAGCGGGTGTGACGCGCCTCTCCTTCTCGGGCGGCGCACTTTTCTTGCTCCGTTTCGGGAGTTGCTTCCCTAGGTCTGCAGATGCTTCGAGCTGCTCTTTATCACCAGATAGACGTGCCGATCGCCGTCGTTTTTGCGGTTCTGTAGCTGCCGGCTCCACAAGAGGGACGGAGTTCTTCCTCCGACGCGACACGGCGGGTTTCGCGGGCTCTTTAGGTATGGACTCGACCAGAGGCTGTGCCTTCGCAGCAGTCCTGCGCGATGTGCGGCGCGAGAATTGGAAGTCATCATCGTTCTCATCGTATGCTGTGATACCGTCAGGTCCAACCACTCTTCGCGCAAAATCGCTGCCCCCGACGCGACATCGCGAAACAAACTCACCAGCCTTCGTAGTCCTCTTCGTCGCGCCATTCGTCCTCTTGCCCGGGCCACCCAGCTCGCCAGCCGTCTTCGCCCGCTTCGCAACCGGCGCATCGTCGTCCTCAAAAGCCTGCTTAACGCTTCTCCGCCGCGTGTTTGGCCGATTCGTCGCCATATGTAGTGTTGCAAGCGGGGATCTGGCGACTACGGCGTTCATTGAGTCGATTTGTTATGGGGGTGTTGTGTTGTTGGCGTGGCGGGTGGGTGAGGCGCGTGCATCGGTGGGCAGCGCGACGGCGAACTTCGGGAAAGACGTTTGGGCGGGTGAAGGCGTATGGGTGGAATTATATTGGGGGTAGACGGAGAGTTTGTCGTAATGATTGGCGATAATGCGAATATCCTTAAGGCGTGGTGAAGGCGAGTTTGCAGTTGCACACCGGGCAAGGAAAGGCGGATGCGTCGTTAGCGGGTTCCAAGGTTGAGGGGATCAAAACAATGAAAGCAGGTGACTAAGCGGCTTGGCAGTTCACCTTCCGTCCTCTCGAAATCGGCTACTCATGCAGCATCACCTTTACTACAGGACGAATAGATCTTCACTTGTCAACAAGCTAGCTAAACGGTCCCATGTATGTGTTTAGTACAACCGCACTTTATAGCAAGAACTCCCTTGAAAAAGCAGCACCCAAGAGCCGCAATCCCGTATGCTTTCATGTCCCTGCGTTTCTATCCTTGTCACATCGTATACCAATTCGCAGAGATTATGCACTTTTCCACTTTCCCGCTTTACTTTACAGTTCACATTCCAGCTCCTGCCATCGGCCCTTTCACACCCTGTGGCGCAAGACTGCCTTCAATACGACGCTTTGCATCCTGCTTCTCCTCCATCGTCGGATTCTCTTTACGCATGTCTGGTGCATGCGCCGCCATGCTCGGGCTGTGGCCAATGGACATGCCGACACGGATCTTAGACATTGTCAGTTGCGGAACATTATTTTAAGTCGTGTAAGAGACAACTTACCAGAGTCTCCAAGGCAGACTTGGAGTTGTCGACAAGATCATCGTCGTATCTCATTTGCCCTGGCTCGAAGAGTAATAGAAGCGTACTTCCGCCAAACTTGAAGTAACCAAGCTCTTCCGCCCTCCTGACCTTCTCGCCTGCCCTTCTGGTGATGACGGTGCTACCAACCATCATTGCGCCCACACAGATAACCATCACTCGACCGTGGACCTCCGAGTCGATGGGAACAAGGACGCGAACATTTTCGCCATATACGTCAAGAGCCGACCTGATAGCCATTGGATTGACAGTGTAATACTCACCTTCAATAGTCTTTGGCTCGCCCATCACACCGTCGACGGGAATGTGAAATCGATGGTAGTCCTGGGGCGCCAGACGCATGATACCGAGGGAGCCTCCCACATAGCGTTTTGCATCATCTGGATAAGCATCCCCGAGAAGACGTTGAAGCGTGAACTCGCGTCCTTTGACCCAAATCGCTTGGGCCTGGTCGAGAGTATTGAAGACCACGCTTCGGCAGTCGGCGGGCGATGTGATAACTCTTGGATCATCAGGAGCAGAACATGGTCGTGCATTCGGCTTCAGGGCACGATAAAAGAACTCATTGAAGTTCTTAAACTCTGACAGTGGAAGCAGGACCTCAGACATATCTAGCTGGTGGAAGGCAATAAAACCCTCAATTTCCGCAGCTGAAGCTGGGTCATCGTATTTCTTACCCTGCTTGAAGCTAAGGGATTTAAGTAATTTTCGGACTATGACTGGTAAGCAAACAAATCAAGAAGACTGCCCCAGAGTGAGAACACTTACTTCGCTTCTTCTCCATGTTGTTGGCCTTCAACCCCTTGTAGAGCAGACGAATTCCAAGTCGAACGTACACACTCATCCGCTCCTCGTTAATTTGTCCGGTGATGCGGTCTTGCACTAGGATATTGGCGGAGTTGGCTCCAAGCTTGTAGCCACCATACGATATCTTGGTGATGACCTTCGAGTACCATTTCCGCTGCGCCTGGCTAGAGGTAACGAATCCGGCCATGACGATGTTATTCACCTGTCGCCAATCTTGACTGGCACAAGTAGCAACATGAGTGATTATATCAGCATCCGACTTCTTGTTTAGTCGAGGCTGATGGCAGATGGGGCATTCTCGAATCTCAATCACGTGTTCTTCGCCCTTCTCATCCGCAAGATCATCAGGCATGATGGTCTCGCCTTCCTCGCCTTCCTTGCCCATCGACTCCGGTTGCAATGTTGGGATCGAGGTGGACGAAGACTGAAAATTCAGTGGCGTTCGTGATCCAGACGTTGCTGAAGGCGTCATGGTACCAGGAGTTTCGCTTAGCAGGTCACTGCTCGAAGGTGTCAAGTGGTCCCAAGCCCCTCTCATTGTTCCACGCTCTTGCGTGTTTTGGAGCTGGTCTTCTAGACAAATAACGCTTTGGTCGAATGTTAATACTCCCTCCCCGTTGTTCTCAGCAGAGAACCTCTCAAAGAAGCTGTCGATCGTAGATTCGTGCAGTGTTGAGCCTAAGGTATCCAGCATAGTAGTGAGTTCGACTTTGTCAATTAGACCACTATCATCTGCATCATACTGCTTGAGCATGGCCCTCCAGAACTGCTGTCTCAAGGCTTTGTACGGCAAATATTTGGCCCGAATATACAGAGTTGGGCTGTGCTTTGTCTCCCAGCGATCTTTGTTCTTCATTTCGAGGGGGAGTGTATATAGCTTGAGGTCCTGGTCGTCCGCTGTGCTCGGGTCAACATTAACGGCGGGTACGGGAGGGGCAAGGGCGCCATTTCCATCCATATTTACACCAGGGGTTGTGGGGGCACTCGTGGGAGGGGGAGGTAGAGTACCGCTGGAATCCTTCAAGTTGATTGACAGCGAGCCTTGGGAGTTCTCTTTCTTCAGCGACGGTCTTGCTAGACGAGACAGGCTGTGAGCAGAAGAAGATCGAGACATGGGGAGACGGAAGCGGGATCGTCTGGCTTCTGGAATGCCCGGGGAATCCTGAGGTTCGGGGAGTCGGTATAGCCCAGTAGTTGGATCAGCCTCAGGAGCGACCGACACCGCTTTCTCGAGCGGGAAATTGACAGCCCCAATATAATCGTTCCCAGAGAATTTGTCGCGGTCAATGACAGTGAAGCACAGTGAGTAGTTTGTTTCATGTCGGAGGACCTGGAAGACGAGCTTCTCTTCGAAAATAGGATTGAGGTTATGGTTGACGACCTTGGTGCGGTACGTGTTCTTTCCGAGCGAGGTGACAACGAACGGGTCCATATCGAAAGAGGTCCTGGTCACTATGACAGTGTGTCAGCAGAAGTGAAGCGGTTGCGGAGGGAGTCCAAACGAACCATTTCGCTCCGGAGGCAGGTCTGTAATTTTGACAATCTCCAGGAACAGCACTCCAGCGACCTCAGTCTTTCCAGAAAACTCATAAGCGCGAAGTTTGGCCTTCCGCTTCAGCTTCGCCAGCCGGAGTCTCTTGCGTCGTTTCTCCCTAACTTCAGCCTTCTTAGACTCATCTTGGACTTCATCAGAGCCATCTTCCTCCTCCTCCTCTTCCTGCTCATCGACTTCGGCGCTCTCCATGCGCAGCAAGGACTCCTCGTCTTCGTCATCCGGGCTAGGGCTTGTCGCCGCGAATCCCATAAGCTTCTGGATAAGTTGTTCGGGGCTGGCCGAGGGGTTGCTGGCGTCCATGAGGGAGAACTGGATGCAGACTTCTCCCGTAACCACACTCTTCTTCTTTCCGGTACGCCTAGACTCCAAAGGAAACCACCGGGGCTCCTGTGTAGGGTTCCCGTTCTGGAAGACGTCCTCTAGGATGACGTCAAACTCACCCATGTAGTCCTTGCCAAAGCGATCCTTGTCCCAGCAGCAGACTTCGAGGAGCAGGCTCTGCACACCCGTGATAGGCAAGTCGAGCGTCTGATTCCATTCCGGGTTCAGTGTCTTGTTGATGGTGGGCGTGGCTTGCTTGACGTCGCCAAGAGTGAGCACGAGATACTGCAGCAACAATTAGCCTCAGGACTGGGCAATAGGAACTAGGCGCAGGAGTGTGCACTAGGAGGCGCTCACAGGATCCGAAGTGCCGCTCCTATCCTTCGCAGCCAGGTTTCTACCCTACAGCGTTCACGGTTGTCAGCTTCACGGCGCGCAATTCATAGCGGGGTACTCGCGGCGAACGCACCTTGAGCACATTGGCCCTCAACACCAGGCCAGCCTTCGCGGGGTCTAACATGGCGCGCTTGGGGCTCGAGCTGCGGCTTGCGGGGACGCTCGTCGGGCTCGAGTTGGTGCCGGAGCCGTTATTGTGGTTGTTTTTGAGGCGATGGGGAAGCGACAGCTTGGAGGTCAAGGTCGGGCGCGGCATGCTGGCGGCTGGCGAATCGTGGATCTCTGCGCTGCGGATGCTGCGACGCGGAACCTGCTTGCTGGGCTGGATCGCCAAGAACGCTTGAATGCTCGCGCCGAGGCTCAATTCATGCAGTGGGACACAGGATCGGTGGGGGACGTCGGGGGGGTGGGTGCGCGGGCGGGCAGGACGCTGCGACGGGTGGCCAGCAAACTCGAGCGGAGCGTGAAGATATGTATGAGAAAGCGGCTGCTGGTCCAGCTGAGCGATAGTCACGTTAATTGCGCAGGACGGCGGAAGCTGCGGGAGCACAAGCTTGACGTTTTATGGGGCCTCTAGACATAATGCACTGCGCTGCCGAAGCACCGTATGAAAGCAGCCACTGTTGCCTTTTGAGCCCAAAGAGGCCATTCGTCAAATCCAAAATTAGCCAGCTGAACTGCCTCCTTCACTTGGATATGAGCCTTGCCGTACCACAGCTCATTTCTGCTATGAAACAAGTTCTCGAGCCGCCCAAGCACTGATCGCCCTGCAAGCCACCAGAGGACACAATTGCTCCTATCGTCATCGTCGGCCCAATCTAGGGGCCGTAACTCTATCGCCTGCCCTTTAAGCCGTCGTACCCCCTCTCCTCCATCACTGTGGCTCGAGATGTTCCATGCAATCAAGGCCATTGCGAGAAATTGCCGCATTCAGGATTGCAATATCTCATTGTCTGGGACACCACAGAGTCAGCACAGAGTGCAGCCCGACGACAATGCCCCCCTTCCATTCATATTGGCTTTTTTTTTTTTGGAGTGGCCTGAAAAGCACCAAGGAACATGCAGGATTCATCATTTACGCCAGTTCCATCTTGAAGCAGAGGTGTGATTGACCGCTTACCTGGAACTTCCACGTACGAATAATGGGTTGCCAGACATCTGTGGTGTCATCTCGCGAATCAGCCCTAACAGCCTCGTGGGTTTTTGCAACTTTCCTTACCAAGGTATATCTTATTTGCCGTCATATATTTTGAGGGGGTTCCCAGGTTTGGAAGCCACAGACGGGAAATACTTCCATATGATATCTATTTATCGTTTTCTTCTTCTCCGTGTATCATTCTATTCTTCTATCAACACTGCATTCATGCATGCCAAAAAGCCTTTTAGGACTGTTCCCGGACCCCACCTGCTAGAACACCAACAGAAAAAGCCAACCGTGGCGTTATCTAGCGGACGTCATGTACGCTAGAACGCTGTTGCAGATCGAGAAACCCCCGTTACCGTTCACAGTAGGAAATTCGCTCCCACACCAAAAGAACTCATCCACCCCATCAACTCCAATAAGATTACATATATACACATATGAGTGCGTGTGAATGGCAAGAGACTAGTCAGAAACTCATGCAGCCAGGGCAGCAACAGCAGAGAGTTCCTGCACCTCCAGCGGTGGATCATTCAGCGGAGCCTTAAGCTGTGTGAAGATTTCCGGCCACACAAACATCTTCTCATCCTTTGGAGTCATTGCAGCGAAGATAGGGATTGCCGTCTTGCTTGACACGCGTCTCCACATGTTCGCTCTTGGATTGAAGTTGGATGGTAAGCCTTGGCCCTTGGTCTTCTCGTCATCAATCTTGGCAATCTTCGTGACTTCGCGCTGGATGTCTGCGAAAGTATCAAAGGGGATGTAAGGGAGTTTGTTCTCGACGCAGTATTCTTCTAACCGTAGACCGCGACGAGCGAAGAGTACGTCGGCTTCCTGCGCAGCTGGAAGGTCGGATACGCCGTCGCCGATGAAGACGATCATGGGAATGGTTCCGTCGTCCGCTCGAAGTCGGGCTGAGTCTTTGTAGTCGTTGATGGATTTCGCCTTGTCGTGTCCGAGCTCGGTGTCGTGAAGCCAGACTGGTTTCCATTGGCTGCCATCCGACGAAATGGTTGCATCGTTAGCAACGATTTCGATGTGCTTTGACTCCTCTTCGCCAAGGAAGTGATCCAGCACTCTCCTCAACACCGGTTTCAACCCAGCTGAGATGACATTAAAAGGGATGTCGTTGTTGATACAGAACTTGTGGAAAGTGTGAAAGCAGCTATCGATTTCCAGAGCCTCCTTCATCACCTCGAAGCCATCGTCAAAGGGCACGTCTAGCGAACCCCACATCTCCTCAGATACTTCACGGAATGTCCGCTCGCCGCTGTAGATCTGCTCGTCCAGGATCTTACGTCGCTCTGAGCCACAGCCGAAGTTGTTGAAGAGGATGTGACCAGTATCCTGCATGAATATTGTTCCATCGAAGTCTGGATAGGTGGTCAGTATGTTGAGATTGTGATGTTGATAGGATCGGCAAACTTCATTCGCGTACCTGAAAAACAGATGACCTTTCGCTTTGTACCGATGCTTGAAGTACTTAGGGACGACTGTCTTCTCAGGCTCGAGAGAGATATTCCCTGGATTGCGGGTGGGGTGATTGTCACAGGAGCCATACTGGGAAGATGAATATGTGAGCAGTACTCTCGGGAGAAACTAAGGAGAATTGTTTGTAGTTCGGATTGGTACAGTTGTTGAAATGCGATAAAGATGCTAGTGAATGAGGAATTCCCCTTCATGATGGATGCACTCTCTCAATTTATACACAAACCAGCCTTGATGCTCTCTCGCCGCCAGAATGATGCCATCACCAACGCTTCCCAGGCGTAGCTCGTAAAATTCCCTATGGTGACATAGAGCTTGAAGCAGAAGCATTGTGTACGGCCGCGGACACGCTGCAGAAACCAGGAAAGGCGGGCGACGACGAATTGAGAAATGGTTATGGCGTTCTGATTGGCTAGTGGGTCTGGATAGCGCGGTCAGGATGCAACTCAACGTCACTAACGGGCTTTGACGACGGCCCTCTTGCATGAGAGCTCTCTCTCTCTGGTTCCTCTAGTGGGGCTTTCTATCCACCCCTCCATATGCTGCCTACGCCATTGCACAGTGAATGCTGCCTCGACTCAAAGCGGTGGCACTGGTGAAGTTTTCCAGCCGTGCATCTCAGTCGTCTCGAAGTTTCTCTCCCCCAATGTTGGAATGTGTTATTGTCAAGTCGTATTGAGGAAACTGAGAGCAGCTTGAAGAACCGCTGAAGAAGAAGATTAGTACCTCGGAAAGATTTGATCCCTCAAAGAACTCAATATATGCCTTCGATTTCGCAATTGTGATCGAGGGACTGTGGATCAAAATCGCTTATTCGCTTGGTGTCTGAGCACCCTGAATCCTTCCAGCCCGTGTCTGAAAAGCCATTCCTCTGCCTTGTCCAATCCTCTCCCAGATCACTACGCGCGATGGGTACTGAAACGCTCTCTTCGGCCTGTCCGCGAGAAGCGGCCCCAGCCGCACCCACGTCAGAAGGTGACGACATTAGAAGACATGCATGAAAAAGACGTCTGGTCATAATGACTTACAGTTTGAAATTCCGATATCTCTTAACCTCAAGAGCAGGAAAATGCGCATAGGATCGGAGAGCTGGCCATGGACCGTAAGACGCTCATTAGCAGCAGGTATATCTGAGGCAGCGAAATTGTTATCATTTCAACATGCCACAGTACAACTAATTAGACATGCATTGATCTCACTGGTAGTTCTTGGGCTGAGGACGCAAGAATAGTGAGGTCACTTCTCGAACCCCGGAGTGCTGACTTAGCATCTTGGAGTAAGAAGGCCATTCCCCAACGGAACATCAACGCTACTATATTGCTTTTGCAGAAGTTCTTCTGGCAGCCGTTTTAATATTGAACCAAAAGCTGTTGAGATTGCGGACACGAAGGCGCATGGGAGGGGATGATGGACGGAGGATTAAGAGATCAGGATCCCTTGCATTTGCGCGACTCCGAAAAGTGGACCCTGAGAATCCTTTTTCCTGCTCCCCGCTGCCTCAAACTCCACCACTGCACGATGACGGCAGCCACAGCACAGTGCTCTCCCCACGGGGTTACCAACCGTTTCAGACGATAGTATGAGTGATACGATGAGATGGGCGTTACACTCACCGGCGTCCACCAACTCAAATGTAACATCTGTTTATAACAATACACGCATATATTACAGCCTCAGCTACAGTTCCATGGCGTGCCAATGTCTGCGACGCACTCATTGGAAACAGCCCCAATTGACGCGTCAGAGAGTGCACTACACCCAGAGTCATGATACAGGCACTCTGTCTGAAATTTGAGTCCAAGAATCATTTCACTACATAGTTGCACACCGATTTGAGAGTACAGGAGCTGAAAGGAAGAGCCCGCGCCAAAGACTAAATACGTACGAGAGAGAGAGAGTATTAAGAGAAACAATAACCCTCTTCCATTCCATTCCATCGCCACTAAAAAAAGCTTGCTTGTATAGTAATTCAGAGGATAGTGGCAGGTTACTTCGAGACATAGCACGTGGCCGACGTATTTGCCGAGTGCAAACAAGGGAGAACCAACCCCGTCCAATAGAGAAAGCGAAGAGAAGGGGCAGATTACTGCTACCATGAGGTATGAAGTAGTGTTTTGTTAGTGAAAGCCCCGGCCCACGCAGGGTATCACAGAGAAACACGAGTTGAGAAACCACTTAACGGAGCCAAAAAAATTTGGCAAAAGCGCGCAAGGAAAACATTTTCACAACGCCGTGAATGACATGGCGATAGTGCCGACGTCAAAGACATGCAACCCGTGATCCCATTCCTAGTTAAGGCTCCCTCACTTCTCTAAGCTTGGGATACCGAATGGTTTATATCAGACCACACAACCGAAGGTTCTCTTGGATGATAATATCTGGAAAAGGTCAGTCGCCGGCAAGCACAAAGCATACGATTGACATACCATTAACTGCGGCCATGACGAACCGAATCTGCATTGTGTCTGTTGCGCAAGTGAAATGTGTGTAGATTTGTTTCGTCTCATGCTGGTTCAGCGAGACGAACCGGTTCAGGATGTAGTCGCAAGCCGCAGCATAGTCGGGACCACCTAATGACATTCGTCAGACTGGGTTTCATGACAAATTAAGAATTTCAATTCTCCTTACCTTCGTAGTCGGGGAAGTAGTTCTTCATTGGGCTAACGGGAAGTTTCTCCTTGAACCTGTCGATCTTGTTCAAGAAGAGAATGATCGATGTCTTGACGAACCACCGCGAGTTGCAGATAGAATCGAAGAGGGTAAGCGCCTCCTGCATACGGTTTACCGTCTCGTCCTCAAACAGCAACTGGTCGTATTCTGAGATGGCGACAAGGAAGAGGATGGTAGTGACGTTTTCGAAGCAATGTATCCACTTCTTTCGCTCCGACCTTTGGCCTCCGACATCGAACATACGATATGTCAAGTCGCCGATGATGAAAGTTGTCTCTGTAATGCCGGTAGTCTTGACACGCGATCTAAGCACGTCTTGGTCATTGGGGATGTAGTCGGGTGCGGCGATACGATCAATTGAGTCGAAATAGCTATGCAAGTCAGCATTGGTAATCCAATTTGACGGCGGAAACGGGCATGGCTGTAACTTACTATTTTGCAGAATCGTTCAGTTGATATTCTCGCGATCTCTGGAAACATTGTTGAACACCAGCGTCCTTCCATAGCACGGAGATGGCGTTGCCAACTTCTGGTGGGAGGCTATCGCCTTCGATCTGTGCGGGCTGCATGAAGATGGTCTGGACGTGGTATTCGGCACGTTGGTCGTCGAGGGGTAGCTCGAGCGACTCCATTGCCTCGAGAATGACGCGCATCGACTGCACCGTGTTGCTGAAGATGATCTCCTTGAACGATTCCCGCTCATCGCGCGAATAGCCGCCCTCATGGATCAGCTTCATCTGCTTGAGAATGGTCGATTTGCCAGATTCACCGGCACCTGCGTATTGTCAGAGGAGCGCGGTGCCAGGGCGGGTTCGAAGGCCACTCACCGAGAAGAAGCATTTTAATCTCATTGCGCTGCAGCATTTTGTCGCGCTTAAGCTGGTTCTCAATCTCCTCATTTCTCTGCTTCCCCTCCTTCTCCTCTGTGCTCATTCCGCAGCCCATTGTGAAGGCTGTGGACGCTGTGCTTGCGAAAGATTAGGGGGTAGTGGTGAGAAGCGATGCTTCCGTAGAGGCCAGCCGACACGGAACCTGGGCAGCAAGCGGCGTTAGTACAGTAGCGTAAGATGGTGGGGTATTGATGTGGGCTGCAAATTGAGGGGACGGCGGGCGTGGCGTGCAGATTGGGGAGAGGGTTGGAGAGGATTGGTGAGCGAGGCAGGACCTGTCTACTGCTCGAAACACCCAGTGAGCGGAGAGGCTGGGCGCTGAGGCAGGAGCGACGCCGCACGCAGGCAAGGGCCTTGGAATGGCGGAGACTCACAGATGGTATAATTACAAAGAAGTATCCGCAATGGCGAAAGTGAAGCTTAAAACGACTCTTATGTGACGACGATGGGAGGCGAGTGAATGGCGACGGACGTGGAGAAAGGATGGCGGACAGTGAAGGAGAGCGGGCTCGCTTCGCTTGGACGGGCTGGGGGCTGTCGATGACCGCTGGGGGGGGGGTTGCCCGGAACGGAGGATAGAATCGCAGCGAGAGACGGATGCGGAGGATGAGCAGCGTCGCACAACAGCAGCAGCAGCAGCAGTAGCAGCAACAACAACAGCAGCAGCAGCTCTCTTGTCGGAGGTTTGCTGCAACGCAATAATTCGAGAGAGGAATGGGGACGCAAGACGGGAGGCGGACGAGAGCAACGAGGCTTTTGGACCGACGAGAAAGGAGACGCTTGACCAGCACGGTTAGCCCGGCCGGGGCCAGAGCTTGACACCAGAAGCATCCTAGTGCACGCAGCACGCTCGCAACACCACTGCACACCTGCAGACTCCACCCTGTCTACTGGCGCCTCTCCCACTACCGCGCACCGCACTTGTTCTGTGTTTTGCGCTACGCGGGTGAGCCAAATCGTCGTGCTGTTGGCCACCTCTGTGGGCGCTGTGCCTGTCCTGTCCCATGGCCCTCCAGTTCGCCCGCTCCGCTGCGCTTCCCACCTCCGGCCTCGCTCACCGTAAGTTACTCCTGATTACCAACACGCCAGCCAGGCACGCAACTCTTTCAGGCGTTCCCCCCCCCCCCGCCGCGCTCCTGCTCTGGCTGCCAGCGACACTCTTGCAGTTGCAGCTGTTCGGCCAGAGTCCCCAAGTCTCCTATCGGTCCGTCCGCGCTGGGGCAACCGTCCGGCATTGCCTGACTAGCAAGCCCTTCTAGAAGGTCTTTGGAAAATAGGGGCGCGTCAAATAAAAGGCTTCACGCTGGGGCCAGTCCGCGACGAGGGCTCCCCAGTTGCAATTGAAACGCTTTTGCATCCTGTGCCAGGTTCCAGATTAGTTTGAAATCCCCTTTCAACGTCTGACGCCTGCAAGCAAGAACCCAGCTCCGCTTCCATCTGCACTTCTGCATCTACTGCTCGTCGTCTTCGCTGCAGATATTGCGCAAAGTTTCAAACTGAGAGCAGCACGACATTGCAACTACCAGCCACTCGCCAACTCTCCGTTAAAGGGAGACTCGTTCGATCGAGCCGTGCAAATCACATGCATGCACCTTTCCACAGACGGCATGGCGCAACCGTGATGCGAAATCGTCTCATCCGTCGGCAAACCTTCGCTCCTCTTCTGACCATCGCGCTTCATCTCCACGAGTCGTGAGGATTTTTTTTAAGGGTCCAATCAATGTTCCTCTTCTCGATGCTGCTGTTATTTCTCTGCATCATCTCGCTAACCCAGGGCTGTGGACAATTGTCGAGATATCTGGCAGTTGCTTCTTATTTTCAGCAACAAATATCCGATGATCCCTTGCTTGCTAGAACTTGGGTGCATCAGCGCTTTTTGGAAATGCCTGTCCTAAATACTTTGCACTCAAGAAATCCTGGGGCGAGCACCACATGTATCTCCGCTAGCGTCCCATCATTTCCTCCGTGGGCGTTGGTGCCTTGGCAAAGATATTTGGTTTAAACACTATCGCCACAGCTCCCAGAGATCTGGTTCACAACTCATGACAGCAGAGAACTCATCCATCGTCTGGGGATGGTTCGTACTCGCTGTATGAGCACAAGTCTCTCCTTAACCGTTTCTTAACATTCTTTATGTGCTTTTATCGTATCGCTGAAATTACGCCCTCACCTCCCCTTCATGCGATATCACAACGTGCTGCCTGACGTCCACATTATATCAAACCCATCTTCACGATCGAAACGGCCCCGAGACTTCTACAGATATTCAATCTAGCAGGTGCACCTCAGACCGTGACTTGCCACCCGAGCTTCCTTTCCACAAACGTTCGGAGGGTACTCATGTATACTATCCTGGTCCGACTGATCGAACCTTGGCATGCTACTTGTGCTTGTGGTTTCTGCTGACTCTGATAGACAACTACTTCTAGAGGAACCTCACACCAGCACCCATGCTCTGAAGGCTAGCGAGAAATGGGCAATCTGCAAGAAATCGCAGCCTTCCTAGACAGAGAAATGGATTCCGCAGGGTCCGACGCGTTCTACATATGGAAGCACTCCTGCATAGCATAGGGTAGCTGGTTGCCTGTGGGATATTGAGTGCAGTTGGGGGCTTGCTGCAGTCATTCATGCACCCCACAAACGGAGGTTTCAAAACATTCAGCCTCCACCAGTGTTACACAAAACATCACCTATTAAGAAGTTCGATTGCTTCTTGCCTACCCGTGACGAGGAGGGGAATTGAAAGGTGTCTGGTCTGGTGCTATAAATGAGCATGGCTTTCAGACTCGAACACCTTGCAAATTCAACGAAGAGGCTGAGAGTGATCCTTCGACTCGCTCCCTCCACATTCGGGGAACGAAATACGCCTCCATACCCTCACCATCGAGGAACTGTCCTTCGAAGTTCATCTCGAATGCTTCTATAAATACCTCCAGCACACGCATTCCAGTTTGCGGTCCGAATTGGCCTCAGTTCGCGGACCCAACCGCTGGCTATTCCCTTCAGCCTTATCCGTCGAGCCGTGTCACTAGTTATGGCAACATATGAGCAGAAAGCACGTTCCATGTACACAGACAGCTTCGTCAATGTATTGCATAATGCTATCAAACATCCACTACTCTACTCTTCATGCTAAGCCGGAAGCCTTCGTGGTCCGCTTCTCATATTCGTTCAAGCCATTGGTAAAACCTTGTTCCTTTGCGGCTTATCGGTATTCCAAGGTACTTCGCAATGAGTCTCCATGGGCTCTAAAGATTTGAGTAGTTTCTGAGCACGGTATCTGTTTCAGTCTTCAGCCTCAGTTCGGTGGACGAAACCTCCTCCACAAGCTAAGCATTACGCGGGGTCGTTAAAATTCATCCGCAGCGTATCGATTATGCACCACACGGACACTCCCGTCAATGGTGGTGGCAGAGCCAGACACATCCGCAGGATGGGGCCACATCTATAGTACTGAATGTCCGATTCTGCGGCGAAGATAAGCTTTGCTACAATATTGTTTCTAATCGCGCGAACTGCTTTGCCTTATACTGTGAGGTTTGAGGCTGAGCCGCATTCGAAATGCAGCCCGCGACGACTCGCATTTCAGCTGCAGTTCTGCGGCGACACTCACGGGAGAACCCACCCGAAGCGTTCCATCTCACTCATACTCATCAGATTTTTCGCTCAGGAAAGGAATATAGACGTTTGAGCGATCAAATGGCGCAATCATTCGGTTATGGAGTGAGGTCAAAAGCCATCGATAGCCGCAAGTTTGAGAGCTAGGTCACGAGCCGCAAGAATCAGGCACCGGATTATTTACATTCTCCGACTGGGTACCGACAGTAGGGTATGACTGTAGACTGCGGCGAAGCTCACGTAGGCCAAGATCTATTATTCCCCTCAAATGGAGAATCGACAGGCTAATTTAGGAGGCCGACGTCGTGGTCGGCGCTAAAGTGGGTCTTAATCTGGCATAGCGCAGCTCGTAAGCGCTCAAGTTAGATTTCCGACCCATCATTGCGTCGCCAACACCACACTCCTCTGAGATCTCTGGTGAAGCGTTACTCTGCATTGTCCGAGCGCTAAGAATGCAGTCTCCAATCCTTTTGAGAACTTCTTTAGGGTAACGCCTCGGCGGTTGCCCACGCAATTCTCTGACATGGCGCGTGGAACAGTTGTTGGTACATATGCGCCAACCTACCATCCATTGCCAAATCTCCTTTCAGTTGATCAAAAGTATCTAATGAGACAAGTCCTGTCTGACGGATTTCTTGAGTTTGTCCTTCAATTTTCTTTGCGTCATCCCCTGCCGTTGACCGGCTCACTCATCATCGCTATTCTCCAAATGTTGTCCTCCTAGACCTCCCAAGGTCAGTCCGTCTTCATTCTCTGGCTTCGAATTATCTTTTGGCATAATGCTCACCTGTATAAAGACTTTGTACCACTATGCTTCTAAGCCACATTAAAAGGCTATGCACATTATTGCCTTCCTTCATTGAAGCTTTGCCGCAACACTCGGATCCTTCTTCCATTTCAACCTCGCTACCAGTTCCACTGCAGCGCTCGGTGCCCGCATGTGCTCAGCCATGCCTACGGGATTCTCTTTTGGATCAGTTCCCTCTAGCATGTACCTCTCGAGTAGACTTTACCTGTCTCTGTTCTCATTATAGTACCGGCGGAGAGAGCCTGGGTGAGGTGGCACTCGGATGCATATATGCCTCTTGCTCCACCGTGGATAGCAGTGCAGCTTCAGCATACAACATCTGTTTAGGGGAGAGGAATGCTGTTCCACCCACTCAAACTGTCTTGACAGTCACTGCTGCTAGCTCGATTATGTCGAGACCCACGCTCTCAACATCAGTCGCTACCATTACAAAACTCGCATCGACGTCCCAAACATCTTCTAAAGTTCAACTATCTGCAACCAATTCAGTCGTTGTGGATTCAGTTCTTCTCACTTCGACCGCCTCTCCTTCACCCTGGACACCATCATCGAGCGTCCCTACAGCAGCAGAGGCTGAAGGGCCAAGAACCATGAAGCCTGCTCAGATTGCAGGCTTGTCAGTAGCTGCGGCGGCTACGTTTGTCCTTGCAATTGGCCTTATGGTTCTGAGTGTCTGCCTTCGAAGAAGAAAAGAACGACGAGGTGTGACTGAGATTATCGGAGACGAGAAAAGACCGCAGGGCCCCCAAAGGGAGAAATTCTCGGCAAGACTCTCAAAAAGATTCTCCACCAAAGCCCAGCAGCTTGCGGTACCGCAACTGAAACTTCGGACGAAGCCTAAGATGGCGCCGGGAAGGGCTGGAGTAGGCCTTACATCACTCGCGGGGTTCTCCGACCCTTACCTGAGTCGAGCTAATCCAAACACTGAGGTCTACGCAGTACAAGTGGACACAAAGCCCCCCCAAATGTATCCGTCCAATTTTAACTCTACGCACCCTGCCTTTCGCCCAGGAGCTAGCGACTTAAACAACTTCTCTAATACTTCCTTGCCCCTTGAGCAGATAGGACTTGCTATTAGTGCGGAGCTTCCAGCTGGATCTGTTCCTGTCATTCGGCCACCTCAAATCCTGAAGAGACCCTCGTTAAGACAGCAGAGACCGAAGAGCATTGTTCGTCGATCTGGAAACCCTTTCGATCGGCCGGACAGTGTTCTCACCCAAGACACCGTGTTTGAAGAAGACGTTCCACCGGAGCGTCGGAGGTCATCCAGGCTCTTGCCGACTCCTCCAATCCCCATCCTCCCAATACGGACACTGCAACCGCCAAGACCGCAGCCATCTCTGAACCCTTCTGCATTGCCAAAACACACGAATCTCAGCCGTCAACAAGCACAACAACAACCTGAGTTGTTTTTAAATATCCCTGTCCGACATTCAAGAACACAGCCATTGCCGGTGACGCTGGAATACATAACATCCCGGGTCTCGCCGCAGGATCCCGCTCCTTCTTTACGGACATCTTCTGTTTATGATCAACACAAGTCCATCACAACAAACGCAAGCACTCCAGCGCCAGGAAATATGGGAGATATTCCAGACTACTACTTTATGTCGAACAGAAGCCCACCAAGGCTTCCTATTCCAATTGCAACACCAGGCCGACTTGTGCGCCCGAAGGAGTCACCAAAACTTGTTACTGTCAAGGCAAAGAACTCAGCCAGTACTGTTTCGAGGACGACATCAAGAGGCTCGACCAACCCGCGTGACTCAATCTCGTCACAGACGTCATTTGAGACGGTTGATCCTGATGATCCTACTCCTGAGGAAGACGATGACGACAAGCAACTGGCTGATGATAGCAAGCTCTCTCCAGTGGCAGAATCGCCGATCTCCAATCTTCGTTATCCAAAGGTGCCGCGAGCCTCGAACCAGCTTGTCCCACGTAGTCCGAGGAGTCCTCATAGTCTGAGAAGCGACCAGAGCACACATAGTCCACGCTACGCGCCAGAGCCATCGTCGCTACTCGTGAAGAGAATAGGCGAGCAGGAAGCGCTTAAACTCGGAGGGCGACTTCAGATGGCAACTGGCAGCCCAAACAGAGAGGAGATCAGGGAGCACATGAAGCACTATCGAGAACATGTGCGTAGCAACAGCACGGAAACAGCGTGGAGCTCCGTTCGCTCGAGCGAGCGCCACACTCGAACCCAGAGCGGGCAGTGGCCCAAAAGCCCCGCCATGTACGAAGCGAGCGCCGTCCAACCTCTGAATCTCAATCTCCGCTCAAGAGCACCGCCGCCGGAGATGAGTGCGTTGAAGAGCCCAGCGTGGGTGCCCAGGCTCACTCCAACGCGGCATGGAGACGATCTTTTGATATCTGTTACTTATTCTAAGCCCAATCATTGACGGCAGCCTTTGTTTTTGTTTGTTTTTTCTCCATATGAAGTTGTAATTCCGGCGAGCATAGCATTGGGCGGGCTCTTCAGCCTCAATTTTTTTTATGACTAACCATACTTTCCTTTCCTTCCTGGCGCATTCATTATTGTACGAAGAGTACACATCGAGATACCCATTTGCACTCCTTCAGACTATTCGCATTGATCAGTGGGCTAGGGAAATAAAGAAACTGTATGATAGCAACGCATGAGTCTATAGACTACCTAGAGAAACCCGGACGTGGAACAGGGTTGGTTTAATGTAACTGAGGTATTTGCAAAGAATTGGCATTAACGATTGTTGTAAAAATTCTCAGCAGGTAGCGGCGGAAATGTCGGAGAACGGGATACCTAATTTGGACCGTGATGGCTGTGCCTCGAGACGGTTACAGTTGCAGCCTCAGATTCCAGACCCAGAGACCACACCTTGGCGGCCCTGTCATACCCAGAGCTGATTTCAAAATGCTGTGGAATCAGAAATTGGTTTCACTTTTCAGGCACTGGAAGGGCAGGAGGACCAGACGGATAGCGGGGGTGAGTAAGTGCCAGTCAGTGCAAATCCGGCCAAAAGACAGCGGCCACAAGACAGCTGCCTGTCAACGGGTTACGCGGGCTTATTCATGGGAGAATTGGGGGAGTCGTAGAGCCCACTGGGCGCGGGTGTTGAGGGGTCGTGCAGGCGTGGTGGGAGGGCTGGGGGGTTGGCTTGCATCAAGAGCACCCCACCCCACCTTCCCACGACGCCGTCTAGCCCTTTATTGCCGTCACTATAATCACTCCACGTTAAAACACCCCCTTCCCCTCTACAAAACCTCTCCCACCTACACCTCTCTCCCATCCATCTCCCGTCACTCTCCCCGTTGCCCATCATGCCATACGGAAAGGTTGACGAGCTCGCCATCAACACCATCCGCACCCTCGCGGTGAGTTGCCCCGCTGCTATCGATATATTGCCCCGCTCCCGCATTTTTTTCCTCAACACCTCCATTTATCCCGCCCGCATGCACCGTCGTCCACCCCTCGCGCTCGTCTGCCGCTTCAATTGCTGACTGTCGTCGTGCTCCAGGTCGATGCGACGGCCGCCGCCAACTCCGGCCATCCTGGCGCCCCCATGGGCATGGCCCCCGTGGCCCACGTCCTGTTCAACAAGTTCATGACCTTCAACCCTAAGAACCCCGACTGGCTCAACCGCGACCGCTTCGTCCTATCGTGCGTACCCTATGCTTTCCTCTATATTTCTATCCCCGCGGCGGACATGTCAATTGCACATTCCTGCAGGCGGTGTGACCTGAACCCCTTCTCCGCGGGCCATCTCGAGCTTGAGACAGTTGTTTTTCTTGTCTCTGCAATGCCCTGTCATGTGTGCGGGCTTTGCGGATCACGTCTTGCATTTCCGCCATACTCCGCTGGACTCTGTTCCTGTGGCTGCAATTTTGTCCGGAAGTCATGATGTACCTTGTGCTCACTCCTCCTCAACAGCAACGGCCACGGATGCATGCTCCAGTATGCCCTGCTCCACCTTTTCGGCTATGCTCTCAGCATTGACGACCTGAAGGCCTTCCGTGTAAGCTTGCCTCTCTCTGAAACACTTCTTCTGACATTGGTCACTGATTTTGCCTATAGCAACTCGGCAGCATCACCCCAGGTCACCCCGAAGCTCACGACACTCCCGGTGTCGAGGTCACCACCGGCCCTCTTGGTCAGGGGTTCTCTAATGCCGTCGGTCTTGCTGTTGCGCAGGCGCACACTGCCGCCGTCTTCAACAAGCCTGGCTACGATCTGATCAACAACTACACCTACTGCTTCTTCGGCGATGGGTGTGCCATGGAGGGCATTGCCAGCGAGGCTGCCTCTGCTGCTGGCCACTTGCAGCTCGGAAACCTGATCGCTATCTACGATGACAACCACATCTCCATCGGTGAGTGCCTCAGGGCTTCGCTCCAAACTGCTGGACTCTAACGTTGCCGTGTAGACGGCGACATTAAGTGCGCATTCACTGAAGATGTCATGAAGCGCTTCGAGGCCTACGGCTGGCATACGCAGTGGGTGGAGGATGGTGACCACGACCTGGAAGGCATTGAGGCCGCCATTGCCAAAGCCAAGGAGGTCAAGGACAAGCCATCAGTCATCAAGCTCACCACCACCATCGGTTTCGGGTCCAAGCTCCAGGGAACTGGCGGCGTGCACGGAAACCCCTTGAAGGCCGATGATATCAAGCAGGTCAAGGCCAAGTTCGGTTTCGACCCAGAGAAGACGTTCGTCGTCCCTCAGGAGGTGTACGACATGTACCACAAGCACGCCGCCGATGGCGCCGCCGCTGAGCAAGAGTGGAATAAGCTCTTCGAGAAGTACGGATCAGAACACAAGGAACTTCACGATGACCTTGCCCGAAGGTTAACCCGCGACCTGCCAGAGGGCTGGCAAAACAAGCTCCCCACATACAAGCCCACGGATCCCGCCATTGCCTCCCGAAAGCTTTCCGAGACCGTCTTGGAGGCTATCCACGACATTATCCCAGAACTCATCTCCGGTTCCGCAGATTTGACGGGCTCCAACAACACCCGCTGGAAGAATGCCATCGACTTCCAGCCTCCTAGCCTTGGCATTGGCGACTACACTGGACGATATATGAGGTACGGTGTCCGTGAGCACGCCATGGCTGCCATGATGAATGGTATGTCGGCCTATGGAACCACGATCCCTGCCGGTGGCACTTTCCTAAACTTCGTCTCCTATGCCGCCGGTGCTGTCCGTCTATCCTCTCTCTCCCACCAGCGCGTCATCTACATCGCTACCCACGATTCCATTGGTCTTGGAGAGGACGGCCCAACACATCAGCCCATCGAGACGCTTGCCCATTTCCGTGCCCTGCCAAATATGATGGTCTGGCGTCCGGCCGACGGCAACGAGACCTCCGCCGCATACTATATGGCACTTACCTCCAAAGGTACGCCCTCCATCCTTGCTCTTACCCGCCAAAACCTGCCGCAGCTCGAGGGCTCGACCATCGAAAAGGCCATAAAGGGTGGCTACGTCGCTCTCGAAGACAGCTCCGCCGCTATCACTCTCGTGTCCACGGGCTCGGAGGTTGGTATCTGTCTTGAAGCGGTTAAGACGCTGAAGTCCCAGAACATTGCAGCCCGTGTTGTCTCGCTGCCTTGTGTCGAGGTCTTCGACGCCCAAGATAAGGAATACAAACTCTCTGTCATTCCAGACGGTATCCCCGCTATGTCTGTCGAAGTCATGTCCACGCTAGGTTGGGAGAAGTACTCCCATGAGCAGTTTGGGTTGAATAGGTTTGGCGCTAGTGGGCCTTATAAGGAGGTTTATGCGGTATGTGATATCCCCCAAAACTTTCTCCTCCTTTTCTGTCCCCCCCCCCCCCCCCCCCCCCTGCTCTACCAAATTGGCAAGGCAAGGAAGTAAGATGGAATGAGATGTGCCAACATGTGTGCTCTAGAAATTCGAATTCACTCCCGAAGGTATCGCCAAGCGCGCCGTCGCGACCATCGACTTCTACAAGGACGTCAAGCCGCTGCGTTCTCCGATTAACCGCGCTTTCCAGCAGCTCATCTAGGCTGGTTTACTTCTTCGGTGGTTGGTAGACTAGGTCGGGGACTGTAGCTAGGGGTTTGTGGGTTAATGAATGAATGCTTGCAAACTTCGGCCTTGCGTTATGGTTTTTACTTGTCTAGGAGCTAGGAGGGAGGACAAAATATGAGGTTCGGGTGTATAGAATTTGAGTTTGGTTGAAAAATATTTTGTGCATAAATTGATGATGAATTGGATGTGATGGACTGGATGTGATGGTGAACTTCGCTGTACTTGCCGAGAAGATCTCAAAGCCTGTGTAGGACGGGATTTTAGGATGTTCATGAGGTACTTAAATTACAGCTTGCGAGCCACTATATGACGTAATACTATGTCTCCCTTAGTTCGCTCCTCTCCTCCTCTAAGAGTTAGTATGGAAGTATCTCCTCAGCACCTAAATCTTACCGGCTCCGTACAGAGAAAGGAGACTTCTCCTTCACATCTTCACACCCCAGATGCATAATCGGCCAACATCACCGACTGCATCTCCCAACGAATCCTTCTTCCAAGGCTTTTCCACCTGCACTTCTCTATCTAATTTCGCCATACCCTTTGCTCTTTTCTTAGACAATGAGAACGTTTTCTCATTTCCATCATCTCCAACCCTATTCCTCTTTTCCTCTTTCCCATCCTCCATATCCTTACCCTCAACACACCACCCAAACCCCAACGATACGCGTAGAAACAACATTCTCTGCTCAAGGTACTTAAGCACTTCGACATCTGTGCCAACCAACTGGTCCGCCGTACGGCCGAGAAGCTGTTCCCAAGCGAGATCGGAGAAAACCAGCTTGCCACTCGTGATTTGGCCAGTTTCGTCAATTATTGGACCGAGCTGTGCGAAGGGAGTTGTTAGTGTCCTCTGTATACTGGGTTGGGAGAATGACTGGTCGGCTGGCTTGATCTTCGGATGGGAAAATACAAAAGGCGGAAAAGGAGGAGATCTTACGATACGAGGATTAACTCTCAAGCCGACACTCCTCTCACATTGTTTGCACTTGCCTGTTACGGAATTAGCGTAGAGAGGGATGCCGCAGCATTCTGTGCACATGAGCATGTTGCGTCGGTAGTATGTGACTATGTTGAGCTCGGTTATGAGGACGCTGATGAAGCCTGTGAATTTTTCTGCACGATGGAATTAGAACTTAGTGGGATATGGCTCGTACTTAATTAGGGGGGATGAACCTCTGGGGTTAGCTCGAGCGCTGGGTGAGCGTCAGTCAAGTGGGAGGAGTATGGGTTGGTGAACTTACAATTCGTCGATGTCAGCTAATGTGTAGAGGATCCGAACAGAAGCTGTCTCTGCAGCTTCTGCATCGAACACTATGTGGACATATCAGTACAACCGACCGCGCAAGGCTGTAGCCAACACCATGACGGAGAGTGGGAAGGACTTGCCTCCGCCAGGAAACGTAGGGTTAATATGCTCCTTCTTCGTCATCCGCTGGGCAAAAGACCTCAGCCACGCCGCATCCTTCGTATCTGGATCAACATCAACTCTCGTGTTCGCGTTCAGCGATAGCTTCGCAATTCGGTCGATCCTCCAACCAGGACTTGTGATCAGAAGCACAGTGTGCGAAGGCTGCCACCGCGATGCTGAGCTAGATACCGCGCCGTAAAGCGTGATCGTGGCTTCTGCCGTGTCGTCGAATACACCAATGCTGATGAGCTCGGAGGTGGTCCCGCTTTTGTTCGTGACTTGGGATTAATGTGAGTGCTGGAAGAGTTGGGAGGTGAACTTTGGCTAACAGATGTCCTACATACACTTCTTTTTTGCGCCGATGCTTCTGACGCAGACAAGCAGTTTACAGTCGTCAATATCGTAGCCCCCGTTTGTGAAATTCTTGACCGTGATCAACCCTGGCAACGTTTGTGTATCCTTACAATTGTGCGGCCTCTTGCATATTGTTCCATCATCGCTGTTCTCGTGGACCATGATGTAGCAACTCCGCTCCCGCTCGGGAAAAATGGAAGTAAAGAGAGGCGCGGCCGAAGGTGCGAGCGAGTTGTGTTCTGCGTGAGAGATGTGGACAGTCCAGACAGTGAGCAACTGGCCAAGATGAAGCTTGTAGTCCATGTTTGCGTACCAGAGGCGGATCTGCAATGAGCGACGTATCATTATTGGGAGCGATCTAGAGAAGTGGTAGTGGGTGTTGATACATACTGTCATCGCCCCAGTATCATCAGCGACCATGACCTTCAGGCAACCCTTCGCATTCAAAGGCCTCTTGCTCGACTGAGACATGTTGAAGAAGTTGACAACCCGCCCCATGAAGGTAATAGGCCTCGGGCCTGGCTCTAAAGTGCCTATGTTAGCCTCTTCATATTCCTGAGTCGGCGTCCATTGGTGTAAGGGTGGGTGCAGAACTGCTTCGATCTCGTCCGCCGAGAAGCCATCCCCAGGATCGGTGAGAGAGGAGGAAGATGGGTGACGAGGAGATGGCCCAGATACTCTGGATGGGTATGACTTTGGCGGAGACGACGATGAAAAGAATGACTGAATCGATGGGAATTGAGGTGGCATACTGGATGACACCTGGGCACGCCTAGGGTTGGGGTGGGAGAGCAATGGACGGATGCTGAAAAGATAAAGAGGAGGGGCAATTGGGGGCGGCGAGGTGAGAGTCACGCTTCTGGAAGGGGAAAGCACAATGATAGAGGAAGAGCAAGCACGTCAGAACATTAAGCGCGGAAATACTCCCATTCAAGGGGTTTAGATTCCACTTGCAGTTTTGAGTGAGAGTATTGAGTGGCCCAAATAGATCATAGAAAACCGACTTCTAGCATAGATGTTGAATCAAGCATGTAGTCTCAGCTCCACCCTAACTGACATGGTAAAATAATTCGAATGTGTCCAACGCAAGATTCAAGTCTCGCAAGGAATTATTTTAGAACAGCTTGTGCTCTAGAGTCATGTCATTCTCTGGCTCTAGTCCGACGCAGGCGCGGAAAATGTTCGTCAGAGCAGCGCGCTGCTTTGCGAGGGCATTGATGACTGGAGTACCCGTTGGAGTCAGTGGAGCCTGTTGAGAATTAGCCAAGTGAGTCAAATGCTAAGTCGGATAATTCCATACCTTGAGCATGTAGCTGAGGATGCTGAGAACGCTGTGGAAGCCAGCGTACTTGGCGTCAACCCCATCAGCACTGTGAGCCTTCCATTCAATACGCGTCATCATCTCAGTAACAAGGACCAAGTCAATGATCAATGGCGAAGCTAAGAGAGAGTCCTCACAGACATTGAAGATGCTGATGGTCTGATGGCCGCCCAAGAAAATCTCGGCATAGTACTCGTCCAGAGCTCGCTTATCATCTCCGACAGCTGGCATGTACTTGATCACGACAGTGTGGTCTGGGTGCTCGCCCTCCTTGTACAAAACACTGTTGGCAGCCACCATGTCGTCAACGACATTCGACTTGGAAATTTCCTTGGAGCGGAACTGCTTCTGGGAGCTGAGATTCATGCCATCGTTGTTGCCAAGATGGTTGTAGCTGGCAATGGAGGTGAGTTTGATCCCAGCGCTGATCAAGAAGTCCACAAGAGCTGACTTCATTTTGGTCTGACCAGATTTGAAGTCATCGCCACCAATGAATGCGCCGTGCTTCTCGGCAAGCTCGATTGCACCGGGGACGAAAGTGTTCTGAGGAGATCCATTGATGAAGGGAACCTGCTCCAGGATACAGGCGACCGCAAAAACGGTTGATGGAGAGATCTCTTCATGGCCAGCTTCGATCGACTTGAGAAGGTTCTCGGCGCTGTCATTGACGCCTTCAAGAATGTCGGCATAGCGCTCCGTGTTAGCTGTCCATTGGACAATGATCTTGTCGAGTCCGTTGGCAGCCTTAAACTCCCTGTGTGATGCATTAGAACTGATTTAAGCGAATTCCAGTGATTGTGAACATACTGAATGTCCTTGCGGATTTGCTCAACATGAGCCATGGAAGCCTTGGTACCAGGAAGCACATTGTCAGCGCGCTCCTCTTGGTTGGCGGCAATGAAGTCTGGGTAGTAAATGCTGGGAAGCGGCTTCATGGTGGCCATTTCCTTACGAACTAGAGACTTCAATGACGGCTCCAGCACTTTGGCGCGATCCATGGCATCGGCGAGATTCATGCCGCTGATATCCCAACCGCCAATGGTGAGGTCATTGGGGTGAACCATTGGCAAAAGGTCATGGAAAGGGATGTTGATCTCCTTTCCAGACTTGCTGTCAGTACCGAGCTTAGTGGTAGAACCCATGATAACGGAACCATAGTAGTTGGCAGCGCGTTTGCCGTGCTTGGTCTCCCAGACCAGGCCACGGCGATTGGCCATGATGCCGGCGGTAACAGTAGTTCCATTGTTACCGCCCCAGCCAACAAGCATAACGCCAACCTTGGGGACCTTGCGGTCGACTTTGAAGTCGTAAAGGGTCTCCTTGGGGGCGGCCACATACTTACCGTCGGCGTTCTGGAAAATCGCCGTGGTGCGGTAAGTGTACTTGGTCTTGATGAAGTTGTCGGTGTACTCAACGTTGGGAGAGTTCACAGTAAAGAGATCCTTGGTTGGGGCTACCTCTACACCACCCCCATTCGCAAAGCCATTGCTGTCATCTGCGTGAGGCGCCATACTAGTTGATGGGCGAATTTTTGACTGGCTGACCACAGAAAATTTATCTGCGGTAGTCTAAGTCCGATGCTGCGCCCGAAGGTGCGGTGCGTCGGCCTGCGAATGGGTGGTGGACGCTGAGGGAAGGTTAGAAAAATGCTCAGGGGCAGGAAGAGTACCCAGTAAGGGAGGGTCACGATAGTGAGGCACATACGAGTTGAGGAGATTGGAAAACGTCTTGGCTATCGGGGCAATGGCCCGGTTGCTGATTGTAGGAGAGTAAGTTGGGAGTAGGTGGAGCGCGAAAGGGATATAGAGGGAGCAGTTAATCAATCGAATGACCGGCTGGTGGTGGTGGTGGAGAGCAAGCTGTACCTGAGGTCATCACTTTATACGTGGAAGCACCCCCTCATCCTCGTGTCCTTATCGATAGAACAAAGCCCACCACCACACACCAACACTCATTACCCGGTTGACGCCGGAGAACGTGTTTCCCTCCACCGCTTCTTCCAATGATACTCCACTTTTGGAGCTAGAAGATGCCGCCATAACCCGCAAGAGTCCAGCCCAGGCCAATAAGTGCCACATCCTGTTGGCCTCGCGTCTGCTAGGTGACTGCCACGCCCGCTACCACAATATCAATGTCTGCAGGCAGTGACTGTTGACTAAGGTCTAACTTGGTTACATGCAGGTCACACGGGCTCGCCTACGCGGATGTGAATGCCCCTTCCACTGATAAACTCGCAGGTGTAGACATGGCCGGGGTGCAGAGTTGAGTTGTCACAGTGAGCGTCTCCGAAGTCGTCCTGTGGACACCTGCCCCGCCATCCACCGTCTCTAATACGAGAGAGGGGCAGATATTGTTACCCACTGTCGACGAACTGACCTCACGTCATGGCTTTGCCTGTAAGCCTGAGTAAATTAATGTTCGCTGTTGCCCAAGGCAACAACCCCATGTAATTCACAGGATCAAGGACTACAGGCGTTTTGAGCAGGCTCTCTGGTCACAGGGGCTACCGACAAGATCTTTGACACTTTCCCAGCTTCAAAGCTGTTTGTGGCTGGGGCGAATGTTCCTCGACGCTAATCGAAGGAACACGCCAAACAGGATCGATCTGGTCTCCGAAATCGCGGACGTCCACAGGTTTGACTCGGCTGACAAGAAACAGTGTCCACGTCTGCCATCTCACACGCAGTTGCAGATGAACTTGTATGCCGACGAGTCCGAGATAGATGTGAGCCTCGGCGGCAGCGGAAAGAAGTAGTTTTACGTACTGTCAACCCACGCAGGGTCTATGGCACGGCATATGGAGCCTCTAGGAGCCGGTAGACATGCGGACGGATCCGGAAAGCCGCATAAGCTCCACACCAGAGGACTCGATCATGATGGCTGCTGCTGTGCGCGATCCGTCCTGTGGAGAGGTGCCATCATGCTCCAAGCGAGCCCTCCATGAACGTTGGTTTCTGATATTCCGAAACATCGAGGTCTAAGGCCCTGTGACCTGTGGCGCCATCTGATACAGACTCTTTGCAAACTTCGGCATTCCGTCTTAATGCGGTTTTACCGCCCAGCATCGACGCGGCAGATGAGTGGAGAACAGAAGCAAAAGGTTCCCTGTCTGGCGGTGGATTTACGCTTTTGGGAGGACAGGAGGCGCTTGTCGGTGTGCTGCCTGTCCCAGCAGGAAAACGGCGGAGATCGCACAGAGAAAGTGGCTGGGTAATTCGTCCAATCAACGCGTATTAATTTGGACAATTAATGGCGTTCTCCTGAGCATGGACCTCAGTTGTGATCCTCCTCTCGCATATTGGCCTCTTGGCGACACGGCTCGCTCTGTACGTCTCTCTGATCAATTTTTCTTCAGCCTCATTAACAGCCGCTCAGCACTCCGAAGTTAGCCGTTCTGGCCGGCGCCTGCGACGTCCAACGAGACAGCGCGTGGCCGCTTCGTTTCATCATCTCTCTTGCACGGTGGGTTTGTGTGTTGCGGCCAGTGGAGCTCCAACGACATCGGCCGCACGAACCTGCAAGCCGCGAGCTCCGTGCATGCTTCAGCAGCCATCCGTCGAATCACAGCCGCCGCCCAGCCCTGTCCGCGACGCCTCGTTCAGGGACTGGCGCGGGTGACTTGCAGCCCAGAAAGCTCCTCGAACCATTGAGCTTGCCTTGGTCGCGTTCCCTCTTCCCTCTCTGATTACCCTTGTGTCGTGTTGATGAGAAGGTGCTGCCCGTTGAGAGCTCATTTGCTTCCATATTATTTCTCATTATTCGCAAAATATCCAACATTACCAGTGTCGCGCGTGGGGCTAAAGGCTCTTTTCAAACCGGGTCTAGCTTGTCAACTTTTGCCAGTGGGCAACGAGCCGCCTCTCTTTCTCCCGCTGCCGTTAACAGATCTGATCCTAATTCCGGCACCTTTTCCCCATCAGTCGCTCGAATTCAGCAAGCTGCAGATCCTTCCGCTCGAGCAGCTCAGGGATTGACCCTCGCCGGCCACATCAGCCTTCTTGATACTCGTCTCCTCCACTTCAACTCCATCTCCATGCCACCGACGTCAAATCGACACCAGATCGCAAACTACTGGACACAAACCTATCGACCTTTGCGCCTTTCTTCGATTACCATTGACTGGTACAATCACATCCGGGAGAGCTTAGCATGGCCACTAGCGAACGGCCACTGAGCTTCCTGCCCACTATTAAATGCTCAAGTTGCGGTGTAGATATTGACATCTCACAATTGGCCGACCATGTCTGTGCCGTATCCTCTGCACGTATGTTGCCTCGACATGTTGCCTCGACATGTTTATCTCTACTGAACCACAACTCTAACCTACCTTCTAGAGGCAGTCGAACCGACTGCTCCCAAGCTGGATCGTGCCGCAACCTTTGGCGCGTCGAGATTCAGTTCCAACTCTCCAAACCAAGCTCGACCAGGTCGCGTGCCTCCACCTCCAAGAATTGACCCTTCTGCTGCCAGTGAGTATATTATTTCACACTTGGACTTCCCTGGCTAATTGTACAGATAAACCATTCCGACCGCAAAACCAATTGACACCATTGAGTAGCTACAGCGACCCGAAGAGTTACTCTCCGTTATCGCCGATAAACGCAAGGCAGCCCTTCCAGATGAACAGGAGCGCGACCAGTCCCATGCCACTGCCTTTAAGCCCCCCTTCGCCCGATCTACCGTCGAATATGGATTGCGCGTTTCCACCGTTCCCATCTCAGACACCTCGCTCAGCAAAGCCAAGGTCCAAAGACCGACTGGAACCAACTTACTCACATCGATACGCAGAGGCGGACCCTATGTATGCGCCTCTTAGTCCTCGCATGAACGGGGGAGAAAGTGTGGTGAAGCGAATGGACACAATAGCACCTGGACCATTTGATGGGAGAGGGGGGGATAGCAGGCCCAGCACCTCTAACGGACGTAGGACACCGGTGCAACATGAGCCGACACGGGGACACAGGAGGACTGCCACACAAAGCAGCACATATAGCAATTCTAAGGGTCCTAACCAGAGGACTTCGGTAGCATCTAACAGATCTCGGAGCTCAACATATTCGAACGGTAGCGTAGGATTGCCCTCCCGACCAAAGCTGGGTCCTGGAGGGGTGCCGCCCCCCCCTCGTCTACCCCAAACCGAGGGCATCGACGCTTTTCTGAACCGACTACAGAAAGAAACGATGGAGCCACTTCAAATCGGTCAAGACAGTCGCTCGAGGACTTTCCCACTTCGCAAAGAAAGCGGGGAGGATGCTGGTCTTCCCCCTCGACCAAGAAGGCCGTCCGAATCGAATGGCTCTGTAAGACGACCTACAGACATCGAGTCGTTCAAGTCAGGACCCCGACCTGCCAACATGTTCCCTGCCAAGAGTTCAAGCCGTGCCGGATCTAAATCGGGTATTACCCTGGACAATGTTCCGCCTCTACCAGTAATACCAGATTACGAGAAGAACTTACCACCGAAACCTTTGCACACTCCATCAGATTCAGGCCAGTCTGACGATTCCGTCTCTAGTTCTGGGTTCGGGAGTGTGGCGAGTTCGCGATCTAGCCCCCCCGCCTCGGTGGCTTCAGCACACTCGCGAAAACCCTCGAAAGTGGGAGGTATGAATTACCTCGGCGAGGTTCGCATACCGAGAACTGCCAGTCCTGATGAGCTGTTCATGGATATACCCCCTCCGCGGCTCGACAATCGGGACCAGCCTTCAGGCTACAATAAGGGAAATGCACCAGCGCCCCTCCTGCAACCTCCTCCCATGCCCTTCTCGGACGCTCCGGAATCCCCTTTGGATCCTGCCATCCAAAGAGGTCTTTTATATGAGAGGCGACCAAGTGATCCGCAAAGCTCGAATCAAGCGCCGAGTTTAGGTATTTCAAGAAGCCCTCCAAAACAGGTGTCAACTTCTGAGCTACGAGATCCAGCCATCAGACGTCCGCCCGCTGGCAAGGGTAGATGCCGAGGCTGCTCAGAGCCGATTGTTGGCAAGTCGGTTAAAGATTCGTCTGGTCGTCTTACAGGTCGCTATCACAAGCAATGTTTCGTTTGCAGGACATGTCGTGATCCATTCCCGACCGCTGACTTTTACGTATTCGAAAACTCTCCCTATTGTGAACAACACTACCATCAACTCAATGGATCATTATGCAAATCATGCGATCGTGGAATTGAGGGCCAATATCTCGAGACGGACCAACGACAAAAATTCCACCCGAAGTGCTTCACCTGCCTGGTCTGCCGTATCGTTCTCCGGGACGACTATTATGAGGTGGGAGGCAAGGTGTATTGCGATCGACATGCATATCATGCTTCGCAACAAAGCAACTTCCTTGGTCCTGGCGGAAACAAATCTCGGAACCTTCAGAAGAGGACAACAAGGCTTATGATGATGATGTGAGGAGGTTCACGCCATTTTGATGTATTTTTCTATACATTCTCCCTACTGTCTTTCGGTCGTTTCTCATGTTTTGGCGAGTTTAGGCTTTCGCCTCCAGCACCAATCGTTCTTGTTCTATCTGGCTAGTCCCGGATTTCTGCATTTATACCCAAGATACCTTTTCATTCTCTTCTCTTCTCGGTATTTACTTCCTTCTCTATTTTGAAATAGGTCATTGGAACGAGGACGAGCAGTTTTGACTATTGCCAGCCGTTTGCTCGTGGTGAGATTATACCCTTTCGCTTAGCTTTTGCTTGTGTTGTTGTTTCACGAGTCTCCGACTTGACGTCCACTTATATACTGTAGTTAATGTTTAGTGTATACTGGCATATACGCTTGTTAATCAAAGCTGGTCTGCCACCCCCTACTTCATGTCTTGGGCGATTGTGATGTGCCTTGATAAACTAAATGATAGTAGAATGTTCATTAGAAGTGTACCTTTAAGGTGCCATGATGACCTTAGACAAGTGCGAACACGACCTTGATAAAACCTTTCGCAGGAGATAGTGATCAAGGGGTAGAATCACTGGGGATGACGCTCGAAACGGCAAGTCTAGGCGCGCGGCTGAGCTCGGCAGCTCCAACTTTTTCGTCACCAGCGCGTCGAACTCTTTGAAATCCCAAGACTATGGACAATGCCCTCCGAGAATGCTGGCGACCAGCGACCCCAGCCAAGCGCCGGAATCTTTGCAGTCCCCGCACCAATAAAACGTCTGTTTGACAAGTTTCCGCTCCTAACGTACTCTGCGAATGACCTTCCTCTGCGCGCCCCTCGGAATCGCGACAGACATGTCCTGCACGTCTTTACCACCCCTCGTGGCGCCGAATTGGGTTCGCCGTCATATAACCCAGCGTGTCTGAAGTGGCAGGTCTGTCACAGCATCTGCAAGAGCCATTGTTCACAAGATGCTGATCCAAAAAGCTCTAGGCATACCTCAGGTTCTGCAATATTGACTTCGTAATTGCTTCATCGAACAACCACGCTTCTCCCAGCGGCTCTCTACCTTTCCTCCTCCCCTCGTTGACGGATCCGTCCAAGCCTGCACAACCGGTTCCGTCCGGAAAGCTGCAGAGATGGGTTATGAACAACAGCGCCTCGGCCAGGGAGGAGCCATCTGATTTGCGATATGAAGCATATCTTTCGCTTCTCGATCACCGCATACGGCGAGCTTGGGTATGTGTAGATATTGATAGCTTGCGAATTTGACTAACTGTCCTGCCCCACAAGCTTTACACCATCTACCTCTCGTCGAACTCTACTACTATCGCCGAACCTTTCTACATCCTCCCAGCTTCAAACAACCCTTTCGTTCGGCTCACTGTTGCGTATGAACTGCGGTGCGCTGCGGAGAAGGAATTGCTGAAAGCTTCTGCAGTCATTGATTCTAACCTGCTCTACAAGGAAGCCGAAGAATCGTTTGCAGCTCTCGAAATGTTGCTAGGCAGCAACAACTGGTTTTTTGGAGCTAAAAAGCCTGGTTTATTTGACGCCAGTGTCTTCGCATATACGCACCTTCTCATGGACGAAAATTTTGGCAATGGCTGGGTAGACTCTCGTCTCCGCGGCGTGCTCCTTCAGCGGAAGAATTTGGTCACTCATCGGAACAGAATCCTTACTACTTACTTTCCGTGAACCCGCACTGGAACGCCAATAATGAGTGGCCAATTTACACGACTGTGTGCAATACTTTGTACGATACCGAAAAGCAAGTTTTGGACAGGACATGATGAGAAAGGCTCGGGCTTAGTAGCGTATTGTAGCACTGCATTCCGGCGAGGCATACGGCTCTTCTCATTTGATACCACAATTCGGAAATGCACCCGCGCCTGTTTGCTTTTGAATGGGTGTGGCTTGCAAACCATCACTTGGCGTTTCCTCGGGACGAGGTGGATTTCGTGCATGATGTGAGTCATATGTCTGCACAACGTGATAGGGGGGAACAAGGCATGGATAGAAAGAAACTGAGCTAAAAATGCGTGAAAGGGGCTTATAATGGGAAGGTGGATGATATATATTCCGTGTAAGGCTCCTCTCAATTGATCCATTTGATCCATTTGATCCATTTGATCTATTTGATCTTCAGGTTTTCACTTAGCTTGTTCCCCTCTTCTTGCCCCACGTTTGCCCAAGGCGAAGGGATCTCCGGAACCGAATTGCGCGTATAAATTTCCGGATTCGTCGGACGTGTGATCCTTGCGATTCACGCTATCCTCGTCATCCTCGCGATATCTTGTGACATTTTCCCTTCCTTTCCTGCCGCTACACAACGTGGGCTGCGAACTTTCAATTCAATATGACACAACCAACATCCATCAACATGACCTTCGACACATCTCTTATCGACCTGTGTCAAGGCCGTTCCACAGCTCTCAACTCCTCGTTCTCAACCACCGAATCCGAGCCCTCAGACGCCGGCCAACCCCTCCCCACTGAACCAACAATGAAGACACCAACGCTCCCCCAAGGGCCTCCAACCACAAGCCAACCCGAGTGCCAAAGCCAAGACACCCCCAAACAATCCCAGACCCTAGATAGCATCCAATCTTCAATACCTACACTCCCCCCACCCCCAAAGTGCTCGACTCCAATCCAACACCTCCCAACCCAAGAAGCCTACAATGCATGGTCCTCTGTCTATGACGCCGACGGCAACATGTTGCAAGCCATCGACGATCTGGAACTCCTTACCCTGCTTCCAGATTTCCTATCTCTAGTCCTCGCATCTCATTCTCCAGAATCGAGACTCCATATTATCGACCTGGGTTGTGGGACCGGTCGGAATACTGCGAAGATGCTGGGTTATGCCTGGCCCAAGGAGGAGGATGTACATATCACGGGTCTGGATTTCTCGCAGGGGATGTTGGACGTAGCTGCTAGGAAACTCGGGTCTATTCATACTGGCAATCCAGGCCCGACACGAGTTACGTGGAGTCTGGAGCAGTGTGATTGTTTCCCTACTGTCAATACTCCCAACCTTCCAACCCCCAGCTCAACTACGGCGCTGCCAACAACCCAGACACCCCTCCCCCTCGCCATCGCCGTCATCAGCACCCTAGTGCTAGAACATATACCGCTCTCTGCCTACTTCTCCACTCTCGCGGCCCTCGTTCGAAAAGGTGGGTACGCACTCATAACAAACATGCATGATGAAATGGGGCGGATAAGTCAAGCAGGGTTTGTAAGGGAGGATGGGGTGAAAATCCGGGGAACAAGTTTTGCGCATGGGGTGGATGAGACGGTGGAGGAGGCGCAGAGGATGGGGTTTGAGGTGGTGGTTGTGAAGGAGAGGGGGGTGGAAGCGGAGGATGTAGAGAGCGGGGTTGTTGGGGTTAAGGTTTGGTATGGGTTGGTGGTGAGGAAAGCCGAGTGAGGTGACAAGAAGGAGGGAAGTTGGTGTGGCGGACGGTTAAAAGAACTTTGGATTAGGATCTCCTCTTACGATCTCCAGCTTGAACTAGAGGTTTCGGTAATGTTGAGAAAGATTCCAAGAGGCGGGTCTGAGTGCGAGATCAATGAAATCTAATTGAAATAACCCATACTTGACAGGCCATCCACCCACCCATTCCATGCCATATCCCGTGTACTAAAACAAGTACGCGGCCACAACATTAAACCCATCCTTTCGCAACCGAATCCCACTTACACTTCATCAGCGTACTCAGCACGACCGGGCTTAGAGTTCAGGTACTCATTCCTACACCCGTCAGAAAACAAACATTTGGATCCCGTGCAGCCCGAACATCGGCAAAGCGTGGAGTCCATACCTTGCAATCGCCCACTGCATGGTTGCATAGCCCAACAGCATCGGAGGCAACCAGTACAGAATCTGCTTGCGCGATCGGCGGAACGTGTTGAAAACGGCGGCGTTCATGGCCCCGGCGAGGGGGTTTTGGCGGTTCGCCGACATGGCATATACAGTGACGCCTTTCTGGGGTGGGGAACCTGGGAGGGCGTGTGAGTGCACGCGAACGGTATTGGGAGTAGAAGGAAACGAGATAAGGATATTTAGAGACAAGGAGAATATACCTAGGCTTCCCCACCAGCCCAGATATCTGAGAGGCGGATGTAAGTGATGTTTCTTAGGCGCAATAGCTCATTTGAGTAAGCTGCAGGATGAGAACTGCTGCTCGAGCATCGCGAGCATTGACTGGAATGGGACAACGTACTGTCCTGGAACCTTATCACCACCAGCCATTCCTGCGTTTTGTGACCAATGTGTATTTAAAAAATTGATGATATTGGAGTTGTGGACGTAACGTGGCGACAATGAGTTGGTGGTGGAGATCAATGATGTCAATGGAGCCTTGCTTCCTCGGCACGTGACATCTCTCCCGAGCTTACCGTACCGAACCCGGCAATGATGGAAGCTTCAATTTTTCCGACTCCACCACCACATCTTCCATTGCTCCCCACCAACTCCGCCCTCCGCCATGGCCTTTCCACAATCCCTCTTCCGGTGGGTTGTCCCCGGCGCCGCCGCCGCAGCCCTCATTCAGGCCTCCATCTACGACGTCAAGGGTGGCACCCGCGCTGTCATCTTCGACCGATTGTCTGGTGTGAAGGAGACTGTTGTGAACGAGGGCACACATTTCCTGGTTCCGTGGCTGCAGCGGAGTATTATCTTCGACGTGCGGACTAGGCCGAGGAATATCTCGACGACGACGGGGAGTAAGGATTTGCAGATGGTGACTTTGACTTTGAGGGTGTTGCATCGGCCGGAGGTGAAGATGTTGCCGAAGATTTATCAGGTATGTCTGCTCTATACTCTTGTTCATTATCTAGGACTCTTCTTCTAGATATGGATATCGAGTACACAACATGTATTATTCTTGAGTTATAACCACAGTATCTAACAGCGACCTAGAACCTCGGCCTCGACTACGATGAGCGCGTCCTCCCCTCAATCGGCAACGAAGTCCTCAAAGCCATCGTCGCCCAATTCGACGCCGCCGAGCTCATCACCCAACGAGAAGCCGTCTCGAACCGCATCCGAACTGACCTCCTCAAGCGCGCAAACGAATTCAATATCGCCCTCGAAGACGTCTCCATCACACACATGACCTTCGGCAAGGAGTTCACGAAAGCCGTCGAGGAGAAGCAAATCGCGCAGCAAGAGGCTGAACGCGCCCGGTTCGTCGTCGAGAAGGCCGAGCAGGAGAGACAGGCGAATGTTATTCGTGCGGAGGGCGAAGCTGAGGCTGCGGATACGATTAGTAAGGCGGTTGCGAAGAGTGGGGATGGGTTAATTTTGATCAGGAGGATTGAGACGCAGAAGGATATCGCACAGATGTTGTCGAGGAACCCGAATGTCTCGTATCTACCCGGTGGGGGTGCTGCTGGAGACGGCGGAAAGAGTGGAAACTTTCTTTTGGGCTTGAGGGGTTGAAAGAATAAGCGCGCTTTAGGTTGAAAGTGGGCGAAAATGCATAGTCGGTTGGCACCAATATAGTACTGTATAATATGTACTGTGAGCCTATGAGGTTTTCCTTGCACCGTATGGAATCAGTCTCCTCTTGTCTCTACTTCGACATTTCCTACAGTGCCTACGCTCTTTTTTTTCACGTCCCGGAAATCTAAGCCACCATTTCTCCCTCAAAATTTTACCCAGTTCCATCCACAACTCCCAAAACCCTCTTCTGGCAACTGCACAGTGCGAGGCGTCAGGCCACGCAGTTCGCCATTTCCCTACGCCACCTTCTCATCACCTGACAGTGGGCAAGGACCCTCACTCTAATTGGTCTTTTCTTGCCTCTGATCGTAATTGTTCTCTAGCCTCTCCCCTTGCTGCTTCTCTCTCTATCATGACGTTTCTCATGCCACTATCTTCGTTACTCCTAAACTGCTACGCCCTCAAACGGCTTCTGGTCCTTCTTCAAGGGCATTCCAGGCATTCCTCAAACTGGAAACAGAAGTATTTCATACGTCAACATATCCTGCTAAATCTATCAAACTACATTGTCAAACCAACCGATCATAGCTTTGTTGCTTAGTTGAGTGGGACCCCCCTTACTTGGCCCCTCATTTCCCTTCTATATTATATTATATCTATATTCAGCTCTCTGGCCTCATTTCACTGCTCTTAATACTGTATGTTGGTGTAAGGTTGACCATACGGATCAGGGGATTCTATCAATACTATCATGTGCGTGTTAGTTAGTGTCCCTGTAAAGCAGCAGGTTCACAATCTGATTATGGCCTTTCGTTAAAGGAGCCTAGAGTGCATTGCTATACCCTCCCCCAGTGCGTTAATATCGGCGCCCCTTTCAAGTAGTACCTGCACGATTTCTACCGTGTAAACTTTATGAAGCTATCTATTACTCTATACAACCCCTAGCTAGCCCTAGAGACGACTATACAGACTCCTGAACTAGCTTCCTAGACTTAATGTAAAGCCAACGACCATTAAGCATTACCCTAGCAAAAGTTGGGTGAAAATGTTCGAAGCGACTCGACATTGTGCGAAATATTTCTCGCACTGTACCTAGGTCTTTCTCGGGCAGTTACAGTGATTCTCCTCTATGACTCCTATTCCCTGCCAATGCATTGGGAATCTCTTATATGATCTTCATCTCGACTCCCCGTCGCTTGGGGAGAAGAAGGGCCATTACTTCTTCGTTTTCTACTGCTGCTTTAACTACCTTCTCTGTGATCTCATCTCCCAGTAGCTGAATGAGAAGCTCTATTATTTCTCTTCCATGTTCAGTGCTCCCTACCGCTACTCTAACCACTCCCTCTGTAATCTTGACCTCGTGTCCCCGTCGTTCAAGGAGAAACTCTATTGTTTCTCTTCCATGTTCAATATTCCTTGCCGCTTCTGTAACTACCTCCTTTGTAATCTTGACCTCGTCTCCCCGCTATTCAAGGAGAAGCTCCATTATTTTTCTTCCGTGTCTCCAATTATTTACCGCTACTTTAACCACCTCTTCTGTAATCTTGACCTCGTCTCCCCGTCGTTCAAGGAGAAGCTCTATTATTTCTTCTCCATTCCCTGCCGCCGCTTTGACTACCTCCTCTGTAATCTTGACCTCGTCTCCCCATCGTTTAAGGAGAAGCTCTATCATTTCTCTTCCATTCTCTGTCGCTTTGACTACCTCCTCTGTAATCTTGACCTCGTCTCCCCGTCGCTTGAAAAAAGCGTCATCAGCTCTTTCCCATTTTCTATGTTCCCTGCTGCCGCTGTTAAGGCGTCTGTGGTAATAATAACCAGCCTGCAACGGAGGTTCGATGGAACTCTAGGCTCACAGTGAGCTTGCACATCACTTGAAGTATTCGTTATGCATACAGCAGTAGGTCAAGCACTGCTGTTTGTCCGAAGGTACATGCAGCTTGTAATGCAGTAGTATATGCACCACCCCAAGTGTTGATGTCTGCGCCTGAATCAAGTAGCATCTTTGCCACTCCTGTGTGACCAAGGCGTGCTGCTGCTTGAAGCGCGTTCCCAAAGTAGCCGCCTTTTGGATTCGGGTCCATGCCGCTATTTAGAAGGAATCTTGTCTCATGAATGAGCCCAAATACCGCTGCCTAGTACAGCGCAGATTGTTTTGACTGATGAGATGACAGGTACGAGATATTTTTTGACGTAAAGTAGATCTTAGACCATGCAGAAGAGAATCCATCACCGATTTCGCAGAGTTTTGCGGTTCTCGAAACCCACACAGGGCTACTTATATGTCCTTCCTGTACATGAAATATCCAGTGATTTGCCGAATAATCTAAGAATGCGTACCTCTCTGTATATGCTTGAACAGCGGATGACCTGGGGACACAGTCCTCTTGGAATTCCTGGAAGAGCAAATGAGTAATGCATATCCCAGAGAGCATTTCATGCGCTTTTTGGAGGTCGACTGAATGTCTCCACCCATGGGGCCTAGAAACTTCGTTGATTTCCCGAACTAGAAACTCCTTTGCCGTTTGATGGGTTAAGTAGACGCGTTGGCGTACTATATAGTAATGAACAACCCGCACGATCTGCGGATCCATTCCTTCATTCTCCAATCACTTTCAAGGTCGAGATCCGCGTAGGTAGCTGTATCCCGTCTACTCTCTAGAGCTACATCAATTTCGCTCAACGTCAGTGGGCGCTGGGCTACAAAAATGATCTGCAGCAATTTCCTTCCCTCCTTCTCTGTGCATCTTGCTAGAATTTTCTCATATGCTTCCTCAACTGATCTGGGCAATATGTCGATGACCTTGAGCAACTTTTTCTCCGTCGTTCCTAGTGCATGTTTGACTTCATCCAAAGTCAAATGTAGCCAGAGGTAGGTTCTGCTAGGAATTTTGCAGAGTTGTCTATGTAGAGATGATCGCACATCTTCGTATAGTGCTCCCCCGCTATCTCCCTAACTTTCGCTTTCATAATGATCTCAATTTCACGACTGATCTTTTCCGATTCTTCTTCCCCAGCCAGTCGAATAGTCGGGGGATTCCGCGTTATTCTAGAGAATCCAAGCTCAATTTCATTTTATGGGCGGCTAGTCACTAGGAACTTCAACTTAGATCCCGACTTGGGCTTGCCTAAAGATCGGCTGTAGAGGCGCTCTAGGTAGCCGATGAGTTTGTTCTGGTCGGGCTGCCGGCATTCATCGAGCGCATCAACGATGCAGAGGACATCCCCAGCAGTCAAATCCGATGCAGCAGATAAGAAAATCTGCCACAGATCTTCGAATTCATTCTTCAGTGAGTGACCACACTTCTTCATAGCCGAAACAACGTGTTTTGGAGGAGGTCTTCATGTGCATAGAAAAACTGATGCAGGAGAGCACACAGCGCAGTCGCAATGTTATTTTGCTCATCGTTGTCTTTGAAGAAGAAGTGGCAAATTGTAGCAGATTCCTCGCCTAACAGCTTCTCATCGATCAGTGCTCGCGACAAGACCGACTTGCCACAGCCAGGATCGGCAGAGAGCCAGAGAAGGTGGTCGCCGCTGCTGTCTTTCCACTGTTGGAAGGTTGGATGCTCCAAAAACCATACACATGTGTCCGGCACACGCTTAGGGCTGACGTTTTTGTAGGACTCGTAGTTTGAGGTCTTGAAAAAGCTCGGCTGCAGACCTGCGTTGCTATATGAGCGAGATGTTGCCCGGGAGGGGATAGCTCCTCCAGGGGGCCGTTATTCAGCGGGGACAAACCTTCAGCCTGTACCTGAATAATCTGTGTTGCTCCTAGTCCAGCGCTGATGTTTTCAAAATTTATTGTACATTGCCTTAAAAGATTTGCGAAGGTCGGCGCCAGATGGCAAGCTCTTTCTGGGAGATGAGAAGGCTTTAGCTCGGAGCTATACACGATGGTTGCAGTTGATTTGCTTGAAGGGTTAGCGCTAGCAGGGTTCCTACAAACGTCGTACGATTGTCGTTTCTTGACTAGCGCTAGCTAATAATAGCTACACTGATTGCTTTCTTCTTGATCTTTAAGTGTCTTGTCCCCTATCTGTTATTGTAAGCTAGAGGGCTCTACGATGGGCCGCCTAATCAACCTTGAGCTTGGCGTCTTATCATACTATATAGATCAAATAGCTCCTCGGACCCCCATTCCACAATACATCACTACTTTCATAACTTATACTCTCTGCAAGGCTACAGTGATCCTCGCGGACTCATTTAAATTTAATGTGAAAATGGCTGAACCGATAAGTATTTCTTCTGGAGTTCTTACTCCTGCCATGTTTGCTTTCAATTCTAGTGTATTGCTCAACCAAACGGTTAAAAGTTTCCAAAGTAACAAAAGGGAAATTCGTGAGCTTAGAGAGGAACTCGAGGCGCTCAGCAATTTTATATAGTCTCTTCAAGAGCTTGCTTCCATAAACGAGGCTCAATTTGAGTCTCTTCGACTCCCTCTACTCCGGTGCGGCAAGGTTTGCAAGGACTTCGAGGAAGTAATTGCAAATTGCACTACGCATTCTGGAAAATCGAAGACTAGCTTTCGGGATTGGGCAAAGCTAAAATATATGGGCAATGATATTGTGGGCTTTAAGAATCTGCTCGCCGGGTACAAATCTACCATTAGGATTGCAATTGGTGATGCCAACCTGTACGTATCCGCTGTGGCCCTTTCGCATACCTATGAAGCTAATTAAATACATCCTGTAGACGCGCGACCGCCGTAAGCGCGAATGCCATTCAAGAGTTCAAAGAATTGCTTGAAAATACGACGGCCGACCTCCAAGAACACCTCAAGAACCTCGACGACAAGTTGGAAGCACTCCGTATCCATGGAAACGATATAACAGATGAAAATGAAGCCGAGAGAGGACAAATATCTGAGGAAATTGACGGGGCCCAAGAATGCCTCGCGGTATGCGCTCGAGCGTCTCACCACGTAGACGAAGTGAGAACAAATGTCTTCGAGGGTATCTCCGCTGCCGACGATGCCCATCAAGTTATTATCTCAACATTTGGAGGCCTTATCTCGGCGAAGCGGGTCAGTGCTGGGGTTAAAGCGACGCAGTGGCTGGGACAGATATCTGATGCTGTTCTGCAGCAGCTGGCTCAGAGTCGGGGCATCGACTTGTCTAGTCGTTCGAGGACGGTGACAAGCGTAGAAGAACAGGCCGGGGGAAACATAAATTTGAGGGCGAATGTTGAGCTAGGCAGAAGCTAGGTTAATTTATTCCTGTCGAGGACGAAAGTAGGGTTGGAGTCTCTCTATACTCTGCTTAGGTATCTCAAGAACAACCAGTGTTTATGTAGGACTATATCAGACCCAGCTTCGGAAACACGTCCCCAGTCCTCGCCATCATTATACCTCTGAATGGATGATCAAGCGAATTAATTTTTCAGAATTAGAACTGCTTGTCTTTATTTATGATAGCAGCTGACGGTGGTGCATATACAGGACCACCAAGCGGCGTAAAAATGTTTAAAAGTGATAATTAAAGGCAACCAAAGCCGTTTAACATTGGATATTGCCACTACGAACAAGAAGGGCCAACCCACATCGGTCACAACCTTGCAGTGAACAGTTTGTAAATTTGTGTAGTAAGCGAAAAGGGACGATTTGGACGGCTTCTCGAATCTTTGAGCGGCAGGAACACGTAATGTGGCAAGGATCCGCTAAATACGGCATGGGCCGTTGCGGGGTAAAAGATTGGCAGCTGATTGTGTACGACACTGTGTGCTTCGAAGGAGGCAAGGCAGTTTAGGTCTCACTGTTGATACGGATCCATAGAACCATGCATGATGAACAAAGTCCTCTACAGTTCCAGAAGCGCGAACATACATACCTAAAGCCAGGCAAAATTGCATCTCGAAATTCTGGGCTTCCTTTCGCTTTTCGCGATTTGCCATTCGCCATCCCTGTTTCCGTCCTTCCTCAAGCGTCCCGAAGTGGTCAACGCCACACCCAGGCACCCATGCACGACACCCCGCCACCTGCACCGCCACCCAACCAACCAGATCCTCGCCAGGCATCCGCGCCTCGTCTGCATTGTTAATCAGACCTCACCCCAGCCTAGCTTCTAGACCACTCACTACCGTTTACGGTTCTTCGGTCCTCTATCCTCGTTTGGCTACAGTAGAATGTACGAAGGATGCACACATCGCTGCCTACAGGGTGTTCCGTCCGCCAAAATCACGCCCGGTGACCTGTCACGCTGTCGCGCAGTCATGTGCAGGAATGCTGCCAATCAGCATGGGACACGGGCGTAGGTACACCGCCCACCAGCGACATCCTCGGTTCGTACTTTTTAGTCGGTTGTGTTTGTGGTGATGGTAGTGGTGATGAAATGACTCACTTCAACAAACAGGCGAGGCAGGAAGCTGTACGCACCCGATAGATTAGTTTTTGCACTTTGTACTATGGCGGGTTGTCGTACCTCGTGTACAGCCTGCAAGGTTGGCTGGAGTTCTTCCCGGTGACGGGACAAAGGGTGGCTTACGTACCTCATCCACCCACAAGCGGATGAAGGCGGGAACCATCAAATGAGGAGGAGAGTAAGCCCGGAGGGAACGGCACAACTCTAGATGAGATGACTCTGGGGTGTTGTTCTGCACGGAGAGCACCGCGTCTCTGCATACGAAGTGGATCTTAATGCGGAAGGTTTTGCGTTTGCCTTGCCTTGCATCCTTCTTGGATAGGTCACATTAGATCCTATTCGTTTTAAATGCCTGATGTTCAGGTCGCTAAACCTTGTACAGACCGGTGTCGTCGGGTTATAATAGAACAAACGAGCGAGCTGATAAGAAGGCTTAGCTAGGATAGGACTAGAGAAAGAGAAGGTAGAGGCCTCTATTGGAAACACGAAATAAGGGTGAGTAGATTAGGCAGCGAGCCTTATAGGAATCGATGAGTTGCTGCCTCATATTAAGTCCCAACCCGCTTAGGCTACAAGGAAAAGGCGTTCAGGCATCAACAAAACCCAATTTCAACCTCCTCTCACTGGATTTCAACTTCAGCGCTGTTGATTGGAATAATGCATCATTATCACGTCAAGGAGGTGTGAAATATCAGATTGGAGTTTTTCTATTATTCTAGCGAGTAGCGACCGTGCATACACATTGAAGAATTGTAAATGGCAGTGATGGTGTAACCAGTCTATCCTTTGTGCCATATCATGTCGTATGAATGAGTGTAGAAATCGCTCAACAAATAAGATTGGCCGTCGTATAAATCATTATCGTGTGTATCCAGACACACGTTTACATTCTCAATCTTAAATGCAGGAAAGGACGGATACCATAGTAGAATAATAGGAAAAACACCGTATGTATAAAAAGGGGCGGAACGGGACACTCAAGAAACTGTACAACGAGCGTCCTTCTGCCAGAGAAGTGAAGTTGGATAAAGAAGAAAAAGGAAACCACCGCCATACATTGATGCTGCCATTCGATGTTCGCCATCGCCATACCCCGTTCTGTTGGGTCCATGTCATTAAAGATTGCGTTGTAAAAATTATCGAATACAAAGAAAAGTAGTCGCCTAAATCGTGCTGTCGCCAAACTATAGTGTACTACAGAATTCTATCTTGATTGTTACCGTCGGCTCTGCTGGAGAGCCATGACTGCAGCTTCTAGTTGCCGGAGCCTTGCGTTCTTCTCCTCGTTCTCTTTCCTCAGCCTCTTGACTTCCGCACGCAAATCATGCTCGTCGCCTTCGTCCGAGAATCCAGCATCTGATGCCATACGTTTCCTCTTCGCACCTAGATGAAGGTCTTCTGGAAGCTCGCTGATGCGTTGGTATGGAGAGTCTGCAAGATGCACCTCGGCAGATCCATCCTGGGACTCCGGTCGTGGGATAACCAAGTTACCCAGATCAGAGGACGTACTTGTCCTGCGGTGTACCCGGCGGATGTGCTCGGCTAGGTTCTCTTTCCGCGTAAAGCCGGAGCCCGAGCTGCGCTTACAATCTGGGAAGGGGCAGAAGAGAGATTTCTTGGTGCCGCCGTGCATCTTGTGGACTTCACGTTCGTGACGGAGCAATCCGCCGCTGTAGGTAAAGCCTTGTAGCTTTTCGCAGCCTCTGACGATGCACTTGTATGGCCGGTCGTGCTTGTCCATATGCTTGCTAATAAGATGTTAGCGACGGTGTTACCTAGAGTTGAAAGAGAGAGAGAGATTACTGACCTCCATTCACATTTCCGATCAAATGTCAAGTCAGCGCATTCCTTGTGCTTGCAGACCATTTTACCCTCTCGGTTCCTTGGAGGTTCCTCAGACCGCTTGTAGGCATGATTTCTCCGAGGCGAGAGATCATTATTGTCGTCGCCATCTTGCGAGGAACGTTCTTCAGAGTCTTGCCGCGCGTGTCCGATGGAGCTGCCGATGGATGGCCTTCGATCGCCAATAGGTGATCTTAGAGGGGAGTGGGGTGCCGCTATGCTGACGGGAGTGGGCATATTCGAATTAGAATTATTAGAGACTGTTCGCTCGTGTCTTAGAACCTGAGTGGTGTGGATTGGCGAGGCGTCTGGCGGGCAGTTTCCCATGGTGTAGGAAGAATTTGCAAATTCTGTGATATTGGTGCTCGGATCTAACTGTTGAGCCTGAGGCTGCCGAGGAGCAGGTCGTTGATATATGAAGGGACTGAAATCTGGATGGGGCTGAGCAAAACTTGCGTTATCCTGTGCCTGGCCGCTGGCGTCCGCGGTGACTTGTATGACTGGATTTACGTTCAGATGACTTGAATTTCTGTGGCGTTGTGGCAAAGGAGAGGTGACGGGATCATAAAACTGTGACCACTCGCTGGTACTGTCCACATGTAGTTGCGGGAACACTAAGAGCTGGGTTGGGGGAATGCCTGGATGCTGAGGCGAAAAATTATTATCGTGACTTGGTATGCTGGCGGACGCGTGGGAACCCGACGCGTAATTATTATATGTGGCCGCAGTGGTGGGGCTTGGGAAGGCTGTCGAGCCTATGCCGACGGGGATTGGGCCTGCCTGGAGTCAATCTTCGGATACAAAAGGCTGAAACGTAACGACTGAAGGTAAATCTGAGGCAACCAGGGCTCCTGCTCAAGGAGGGGCGAACGGCGGGTGACTCAGAGCAAGAAATGCACAAATGGCACACACGGACTTACCAGATTGCCGGACACGATCAGCATAGGTGGGCCGTGTCCCGGGGTTGCGAGCACTGCGGCTGTGCTGGCTAGTCACGTGCGGACCGCCGTATGACAAATGCCTCAGGTCGCCCACATCGGATCCGACCTCCCCGAGCCCATTCTGTTGCGCTTCTGGAGCCGACTGCGTGCCAGTGAGCTCCAGCCCGTAGTTGAAGTCTGCTTTCACGCCTGAATTAGCACCTGAAGCTGCAATGAAACAAACACACTGCCTGACTGCTTGCTGTTTGCGGATGCAAGAGCGACGATGGAGAAAAAAGCATGCTCACATTGGTTTGGCTGGGGTGCTCGCCATTGGAACGATTCATCTTGCAGGAACCGGGCTTGCGGGACTCGAGAGCTGCCGTTTGGAGCAGCGTTGTCGTAAAACATCCAGCACACTCCCCATAGCACAGCCAGCGACGGCTTGATGGACCATGGCCATGTTGTGCTAAGCGGCCGCCGGTTGCCGGAGTACTCGAAGAACCAATTGAGCAGCCGACGTTGGCGTTTGTCGTGGTTGCCCTCGATCAAAGCCTCGATGACCTTGCGCGTCAACACGTCAACAAGCTGCGTCTGCAGCCGCAGCAGCAAATGCTCGTAGTTGGCAATAAAGGCCTCGTCGATGCTTAATCCGATTTCGAGGCCCTGCGCAATGAGCCATTGGTCATCGTACTGAGAGCGCACTGTATAGAGCACTCGCAGACCCTCGTGGACAAGGGCTAGGTTACTGATGATGTCCTTCAAGGAACATGGCTCGAAGTTGAGTGTGTCGTTTTGTTTGAGAAAGAGTTTGTCGTTTCCTGCGATGGCGCTCAATGCATTGTCCGGAGGGTTGATGTTGATGTTTCCGTCGAGAGATTCAAGCACACTATTCCAAAAGCTTAGTACCAGACATGTAGTGAAACCAAACAGTATAAGGAGGGTGGCGCATACTGTTGCAGCTCTTTGCGAGAGGGGTTTTGGTTCGTCGGATCTTTCCCTGCCGAAGTCTGAGGTTTCGGTGACGGCCTGATGTTCTTGCGACTCTTGCAGACTCTGTTCGAGGAGTGATGGAACAGTTGCTTGTGTTGAAGGCCGCTAATTCGCGACAGCCCCCTCTCCAGGCTCTTGAGAGCCTTCGTTTCTAGGCCGAGGCATGGCGACGAGCCAAGAATAGCATCATTAGTCTGTGGTGATAGCACGCGCGGCTTGAGGCGGCGACGGAGCTGGTTGACGAGTTGAATTACCTTGAAAGTAAGGTAAATACTCGCTGTTTGTTGGCGTTGCTGGATCGCCATGGCTTAGCAAGTATATAAGAATGTAAGGGCAGACGGAAAAAGAGTGCCGTTCTCGTGTCCATGAACTGGCCGGCATTTTGCTTAAGTGTTTTCCTGCTATGTCCTGATGTCTGGGGCAGGGTAAGGCTGCGTCGGTGCCTGAGGAGGTGTTGGGGAGAGCGCTCACCGCCATAGGTCCCCATCTCGGGCACGCCTTGCAGCCACAGTGGCTGTGATGGAAGGCTGAAATCAACCCCACAACACCATGTAAATCTTTCAGCCTATCGTCAGACTGCACCGAGATACCAGCCGTCCACATGATGCGAGCACAGCCGAATTTGTGCCGGGCTCTCGATTTTTGCCGCAAGACATTGTCTGAAGAGGCACACAGCTGGAGACCCCCTGCCTTGTCGGACCGCTTTGCCGCTGCCTTGGGATCATGCCTTTCCCGAATCCGAGCTTGAAGAAGAGTATACTGTCTACCTACGACAGCATATTACTGGCCAGCCTGATGTTTGACATATGGTCAACAAAACTCCGCCTCAATGCTGTCACAGGGAAATGGGCACCCATTTTGATGACTGGGGAGGAGATCACGCTATCCATATCAAACCCGAATCACAGCCCCCAAAACTTTTTTGCATGATCTTGGATCGAAATCTTATCATTCATCAAACATTTGCTGACACCATCTCCGAACCGTTATATGTTTGTCTGTTTGTCTCCGCGGCTCGACTTGGCGACAATGTTCCATCCTCGTGTGTCAAGTAAGTTTCAACGGTTTCAACAATGAATTTCGATCCGTCTACAGGGAAGAATGCTGTATACTGGAAAGATACTGTCTAATTCGGTTTGACCATGTCCGGAAATAGAGGACCTACATTTTTGTCCTCATAATTTGACGCCGGTCAGCTGAAAACAGTCTAGCGTCATTAGGCTTTTGTACATCGCGAAGTTTGCCCTGAATGGTCTTTTTCGCCGGCTCGCACATTCAATGACCCGCATTCCGGTGTAGATCTGGTGCCAGTATCGGGCTATTGGAGAGGTAGAAACAAGGCATGATTCTGCAGTGCACGATATCCGGTGAAATTGAAGTGTACACAGGTAGGGTTTAAAGTGCTCACAAGGTAGACTCGATATTGGGAGTGTTAGCAGTGAGCATTTTCCGAAGTCGAGATTCATTTTTCTAGGTCTCAAATCAACCCAGGAAATACACAACATCATCCGGTGAGCTGACTAAACCTTGCTAAATGGTTGCACTGAACACTGAGCCTTTCGCGACCTAACATTGTCTTATACTACTACTCGTAAGATGTCTGCCTCGGACAATACATTCGGCGACGAAGATAGGATACCCCTTGGGTCCAAGTTGAAGGTCTGTAGGACGAGATGTTGGCCTGATCTCGCGCCGCTAAATTTTACCCAGCGACTAAGTACTAGCGCTCATCACTCCTAAGAAAATGAGTGATTTCCATCGGAGGCAGTCCTTCGACCTTGAGTCCTTCGCTGCTGATTACCTTGATGAGGTCGGGAAAGGGCGGCCGGGATTGATGCGATGACTCGATACAAACCACCCACTAGATCTGGTTTTCCCCGAGGATATTGGTCGAAGTGATTCTTGCCCGTGCTTCGCAACATATTTCAACATGACATGCTGGGATGCCAAAAATCCACCCACGTAGTAAATTTCTAGTTTGGATTGATCGTGCTGATATGAATGCTACTCAAAGTGTCCCAATCAACCTCGTGAAACTGCTTCCCAGGGCTTCTAACAAGGAGTAGTACTGTACGAGTAGGCGATTTTGAGGCCTGTACGAGTGAGGTTTTGTGTACGTATTGTAACTGTTGCGGCTCCTGCGATCTGTACAAGTAGTACGATTTAATTGAATTACGCCGTACTCTAGTTAAACAACTAGGATAATAGGCCTCTAGAGACGCTGGATTAAGGCCTAATTAACCATAAGATAACCAATTCTCTTCTAGATGCACCCTATAGGTGCTGCGGTAGCAGTACCCTATTAGGTAAGAGCTCTCTATTAACGTTAACCTTATGCTTCCTTAGTAGGCGTTAAACAACATGGCTATGGCTATCTACTGCTGCAGTCTAAAAGACTAGTATTAAGTTAACTAGATGAGGCCTGTGGGGGAGCAAGGCGTGTGGATGGATAACTCTGCAATTGAAAATAATTAGTAATAGGCATTTTTAAGGCGATAGACAGCAGATAGATAGATTAAAACATATAGAAAGAGATTTAAGCGTCTACTTAAAACTTTTAGCTAATTAGAACCCTAGAAACTCCCCTAAACGCTTCCTGCAGGCCTTCTGCTCGCCAGCTGTAAGGACGGAGCTCTGTACCACTGCGCCAATACAACCAAAAGGTGCGAATAATCAACCAACAGTTGATTCTGCGTACAGAATAGTATATATACCCGTCGCGCGTAAGGACCATCTCGGCCTTACACCAGCCCTCCTACTCCTTTAGAATCACTATACAAACTCCCTAAAAGGGTAATACAATCTGTACTACGTACCGTACCTAGGGCATCACTAAACGTACGGCGCGGCTTACAAACTCAGTACGTTCGTACTGAACACGTGACCGTTACGGTTCACTTTGTACGGATCGTAGTACGGCCCGTTGGAAGCCCTGCTGCTTCTGACTACGTTCAAGATAATGAATATCACTCCTGAGAAGGACCCAAAGGCTTAACGTTCTAGAAACCTCAGATTTAAATCAACATAAAGCAAGAGATACCTTGCAATCTCTTTACAGAGAGAGTGTTGTTATATCCAGGTATTTACTGTAAGGGGTTGGCGGGGCGGGTCACTCTAGTGCGATTTCATCATCCGAAATGTCTACTCCAACAAAATGATATGCATAGGACACTCCACTGCCTCTTTCATCCAAGTATTGCCTTGTAGATCTTGAGTTGAAGTACTTGGAGGCTGCTTTAGCCCAACGCGCACTAGCCTCGTAAGACTGCGAGCCGGGGGAAGAAATACGTGTATACAATCGGGAGCGTAGGAAGACTTGTCCATAGTCTTTCCTAGGGGTCCTGGGTTGGTACTACGTTCTTTTCGATAGTCCAGGTGAATCAAAAACCGCCGCAGTCATCGGATAGCGGACTGGGACGATAAACCAACGAGCGGCTCTACCTAGGCGGAATTATACAAACGGAGAAGTTCTCAAAAGAGCGTTACAGGCTGCAGAAGTAGTGGGTGTTATGAACCTCGGAGGCCTTTATTATAGATTGTCGCATGTAAGGTGAAGAGGTGGCATCTTCTGAGTGATTGCGTCGGGGATTAGAGGATTTTTATTTTATTTTAAAAAAAGGCGAAGATACCCGACGCTTGGTTGGATAAGTAGAATCCTGCCCATAATATGTTAACAACTGAAAGAATAAGGAACGCAAAGACTTAGCTTCAGGAATTTCACAACCAACCTTGCCTGTAGACAGCGACTTCGTTTGTGGCGATGGAAGGCCTGCTTTGCAAAGCTATTCCTGATTGTGCACGTGGTTGAATTGGGCCCCTATCTTAATAAGTAGACAAGACGGAACACTTACAGCCAGCCGATAGTACTGTCTCTATGAAGTTTTTGAAGTCATCTCGGAAGAACTCAGGTTACGAAATCTCGAAATAGTAACAGCCGGGTTTGGCTGACGATAGTTTGTTTTTCTTTCAAGGTTAGTGCCACCGTTTTGAAGCTGAATCCAGCCCGTGGCTGAAGACCAGCCTGTCACGATCCTGCTTTTTCCAGCACCGCTCGTATCATGGCAACATGGGGATCCGATGGAAGAAGGAAGCAGGAAACAACAGAAAAAAGTGAAGTAACGATGGTAAATCCATTGAGGCATTGACAAGAATGGCAACTCGAAGAGATGGCATGGAAATAACAGAAAAGTGAAACAAGCAGTCTTCGGAGAGTAAGCGGATCGTCGGCGCAAATCTCCTATCGATTCGCGACAAACCGTGTAGATCCTCCATGTTGGATGATTGATATGATCAAGTGTGCCTGTCAACACACGGCTTCACGATCCGAGAAAAGCACTGCTTAGACAGCTATCGGAACATTTACCCTGTGCATGAGGTCATGGGCACTTTTGTCCTGAGCTTCAATAATGCCAGAAGCCGCAAGACTAATGCACCTGGAGCTGGTTCCAAGCTGGCGTTCAGCGCGATGCATGAATCGCAAGACAGTATGATTTTTGCCGGCCTCCGAGAGCGGTGCACGCCAAGGACTAGCTCAAATGTGCAACAGCGCCTTTGGTCGGCTTGCGGGCGGCGGTGGAAAGACATGGTGGAGGCTTGGGAAGTGGACGAGGTGGAGATGATGAACACAAAAATCAAAGGTCAACAGGCGGACGACCTGGAGGACGTGTGTACAGAACACAAGACGCACCCTTGCCTGGCCGAGATGTCGGTTTCCCGTTCCTTCTACCAATTAAGAAGAGCGGCAGTGGGCAGGGCAACTGCCGACCGGCAGACGAAGCGACGCACAAGATTCGGCTTCACCACCATGCCAAGTCTCGTCTCTGATATCATACACTGCGTTTCCGGTACAGCACTGCTTGCTGTGTTGTACTAGTTAACGGGAAGAAATATAGCCTTCCGCCTTTAGTACTGGTTGCTGCGGCCAAAACACCCCTATTACATAGCAGCGACAGCGTTGCATTCCACACCTTGGCTCGTCTCAGCTCACGAGCAGCCCTCGGAATCTGGCGTAGGTGTCGTCTTGCGAAGCACTGTGGATCAGCTTGACAGCGATGGCCAAAACAGTTCACGATACTCTTGGTCACGAAGGTGCCCTTGCACACATGCCGTCTCTAACTTTAGTCTCTGTTCGTACAATGAGCGTGCGCAGCCCACGTCGTTCCAACCCGATTCGGAGCCACGGTCGTGTTACGGCTCTCCATGAGGTTTCCGTACGTCTGCAAAACCACCAGCCCTTCGACGACAGACCAATCGCTTCGTAAGCCAAGTCTTGGGGGCAAGCCACTATTGCTTGATAGACATGGCACCTTGGGTACAAAGCGTCTGCTCCAGCCTGTGTGCATATTCAAGTGCTTTAATTCACTCATCATCTCCAGCTTTGTTTTGTTCTACTTTCCTCTCTCCTCTTGTTTGGGTGTTGTCAATTCCTCTTGGATTTTTTAATTCTTTCATTGATCCCCTGCACTGATGTCGTTTGTCAATGCCATGGACCCGCTAACTCGAGACGATGCGTCGGAGAAGAGACCGCCTTCAACCTACAAAGCTCGACATATTTCCTTACAGTCTCGAGTAGACTCACTCAAGCAAGCGAGTCTCTACGGAGATAATGATTCCAGACCTGATCTACCAAGCTATGACAGACAAATCCCCTGGACGAGGCAGCTTCTTGAAAACCGACAGGACTTTGATCGATATGATTCTTATGGAATCGATGGCGTTGAGATACCTTCATCGCCTGACGAACCGAGAGCACCCTCCAAACTCATAGAGATGAGCACGGCGCGAGAGATATTATTCGTTGGTGTTTGCGCTGTATCCCATCTCATGACCCAGGCCGCTTTGGGTCAAGCTCTTGCTCCGATCGACATCATAGCCAAAGACTTTGGGAATGTCAACCCTGGCCAAATGTCCTGGTTCATTGCCGCGTACAGTCTTACGGTTGGCACATTTATAATGATATCGGGTCGACTTGGAGATATATTTGGCCACAAGCGAATTTTTACCTTTGGTTATGCTTGGCTTGGGATGTGGAGCTGTTTTGCTGGCTTCAGTGTTTATCCAGGTCGTCACATCTTCTTCGACTTTTGTAGAGCGATGCAGGGGATCGGGCCAGCTCTTTTAATGCCAAACGCTCTGGCTCTTTTTGGACGGGCCTATCCACCTGGAATTCGCAAGAACATCGTCTTCAGCATATTTGGCGCACTGGCTCCCGCTGGCTTTGTCATCGGTGCAACGTGTGGAAGTCTTTTCGCACAGTTGGCCTGGTGGCCGTGGTATGTTCTGGCTGTCAGCATTGAATATGGCTGCTCTGACACTTTGCAGGGCATTCTGGTCTTATGGGCTTACTGCATTTGCCCTTTGCGCACTCTCCCTGCTTGTCATTCCCAAGGCACTTGCGGAAAGGCCTTCAGGCCCTCGACCAAGCTTTGATTGGACGGGATCTATCTTGGCCGTTGCTGGGCTTGTGCTCGTCAATGTTGCTTTCAACAACGCGCCGCTCTATGGGTGGAAAACTCAGCACGTGTACTTCGTACTCATCATGGGGCTGATGTGTTTGGGTGCATTTGTATGGGTTGAACTCAAAGCTGTTAACCCTCTCCTTCCAATGCATGCCGTCAATAGCACAGTTGGCTTCGTTCTCGCCTTGGTTGGAGTGGGCTGGGGTGCATTCGGCATCTGGGTCTTTTACACGGTCCGATTCCTGGAGCTCATCCGAGGCGCAACACCTCTCTCAGTCTCTGCGCAGTACGTTCCTGCCGTCTTCTCCGGTCTCATTGCCTCTGGAATGACGGGTTTCATGCTCACGCATACACCGGTCAGCTTCGTAATGATGATCTCCATGGTCGCTTTCTGCGCTGGCATTGTCATCTCCTGTTTTCAGCCCGCACACCAAATATACTGGGCTCAAACTTTCATCGGCATCATCATCATGCCGTTTGGAATGGACATGTCCTTCCCGGCTGCCACGGTCATTCTCTCAGATCACATGCCTCGGGAACACCAAGGGTTAGCAGCCTCGCTTGTTAACACTGTCGTAAACTACTCAATCTCCATTGCTCTTGGTATCGCGGGTACGGTTGAAGTGTATGCACCGAACAATCATGACCCATTCCAGGCGAATCGCAACGCTTTTTACTCTGCCATTGGGCTGTCTGGGTTGGGTGTCGTACTTGGCTTGATGTTTTTTATTAAGTCGATGATTAAAGAAGGCTGGGTGGTGCTGGAGCACTAATTAGAGGGTTACGGAATATGTGTTATTGGTCATATCCTTTATTGGTCGGTGCCAATGCTGGCTAAATCATGATTGGCGTTTATTCATTACAATGCTGATCAATTTTCTTCAATGAGACCATTCAAATTTCCTTTGTTCTTTCGGTGTGCCTTTTTCCGGAGTGTCGAGAGTGACCAGTGCAACATCCTCGTTGTTTCCAACGCTTTTCTCTCTCCGCCCATGTCATCTCCCATAGTGTATTACTTATGGTTCCAGTCATCCCATGGGATCAAACCCGCCGGTCATGGAGTCGTCGATGTCGTCCTTCAATTAGATCTATGACCGTGGATTTAAAAGGCATCACTTATGCATTCGCCACCTCCTCACCAACCACAGTCATGGATCATTTGAAACTTCGTCAGCCCGCCGACACTTGCTGCGTAAGACAATGAGAGGCACAAGTTGGTATTAAATGTTTTCCGCGTCACTATGACGTCAATCTCTACGTGTGCTCTTGCCCATTTTTGTGTTTAGTTTCGTGCTGGGTGAGCCGGTGCTGATTGAACTTTCTGATATTATGTCATGAGTGCTTCTGCGACACCTTTACATAGTGGACATTTAAACTATGCCTATCATATAAATCCCCCCATCCTATTCTCTAGCCACACACCTATCCCCATTCCCACAAGCAGCTCCTACAATGGCTGCCTTACTAACTACCAACAAAACAACCGGCTCCGCCCTTAGCGCCTCTAACGAATTTCTCGAGTCAGGCTCCAAGTATCTCACCTATTCTATTTCCTTATATAGTACCTAGCATCCAAACCAGAAATTCGACCCCGTTAAAACATCTGCGCCCACCTAAACGCCTTCCACACGTATGCCAACGAACCTGGTCGATGTGTCGAGGCGAATCATTACTGCAGTCACTTTGACGAGGGAGTTAGACATGCATTCTATATGACTCTGCGACGATGCCGGCGAGGTTGATTGTGATTGGTAAAACCGCGACTCACCCACACTCTCAAGCGCTGGGTTTGGGTCTGAGTTAGAGTCTGATGTTGGGATGGGCTAGAGTACATGATAACGCCATGACTCTTCTCAACCCTGGATGAAGAGGTATAGAAGCTGTGGCATTCCCACGTCCTCGAAGTTAAATCCGAGACGTTGATTATGCCGGAGTCAGGGTTTGTTGCAGACGCTATTTGGGAGGCCGCGGAGAATAAGGAAATGGAGCAGGTTGTGCAATTGTATGGGAAGGTGTATCATCTGTGGCAGGTTGACCAGGGGGATATGTTGCCTTTGGGGGAATCGAGGTTAATGCCGAGTTTTACGGCGGAGGGTCAGATGGAGTTTGAGGAGGTGGTTGGGGAGCGGGATGGGATGCTTGGGAGTGATTGGAGGTGAGTTGTCTACTGAAAATGCTTAGGGTTAAATGCTTATGTATTTAACGACAGCCATAAGAAGGAGATTAGGAGTTATATCGAAGAGCCTAAGATACACGCCAATGCAGATGCGACTTGGAAGAAATGAATGGGAGGCCTGGCGGACCTGGACCTTTTTTGACAGGGGGTTAATTCTGAGAAGGGAAGCAGGGTGGGTTAGACAGAGAATCTCAGCTCTTCAGAAAGGAAGGAAGAGCTATTATATCCTTTCCGCTGAAAATCCAGGTGGCAATAGCAAAAAGCGTCAACTGAATCTTCCGACTCACGTGTTCGTGTCCTGAACCTCGTGAATGCCAACTCTCTTCCTCCCACGACCCATGAGCTTTCCGAGTAGGTCCTTCTCCATAGCCTGAGTGTTAGCGTTCTCATGTTCGTCACTACCAGAATCCGTGTCTGAGGAAGCACCTTCGGCGCAAGGGTCCTTGCATTCTAATACGCCGAGTCCGAGATTCTACGTGACGTCAGCAACTGCCTTTATGGCCAGCGCAAGGGGGCCACCGACCATCTCAATGTACTGCCCCTCTTCCTCACCGTCGTCCACCTCTATCTTCTTCATCATCAATGTTCCCGCCTTCTCTGCTGCCTCCAGCTCCACGTTCGCAGCGGCGAGCTTCGGCAGGAAATGCTTCAGGTGGGCTTGTAAGTCCGATGCATTATCGTCTTTGGACAGCTTGATCGACGGTTTCTTCCCCCTATTTGCAATCAGATTGATGATGCCATCTTCATTTTCGTTGTCTGTGGCCAGCTGCGACTCCTCGTCATCACTATCGTCGTCGCTCGAGACTCCTGACGAGGTAGCCTCACTGGACTCGCTCAAATCGCTCAACTCGCTCTCGCTGTCGTTGCTCAGATCACTAGCAATGGTCGAGTCTTGGGGAATGCCCGCGGGGATCAGGGGGGATTCGTCGGAGAGCGACAGCTTAGACGCGGAGGTGCTGTCTGTCGGCTGGGAGACTTTTGCACGTGTGCGGCGGTGGTTGCAGTCTGCGACATCTCGTGCACGTTTTTTTGAGGCTGGAGCGGCTACAGCTGAGCCTGCGAGGTCATGCATCGAGGGCATTGTGATTGTAGCTCCCATTGGGCGTTGTGCCATGTCTGGGTTGTATCGGGCGAAGAGCGTGAGGCTCTGCAACAATTTATTGATCGGCAGACGGACACCAGGGGTGGCGCCGCTGGTCGTTGGTGGGGGTGTCCTGGTGCCTCTCCTTGTGTGACATGGCTGCAGTAAGCCCACCTCAACACGCAAACACCAACACCAATGAGAGAGGTGATGAAGGTGTGCGGCTGCTTCCGCGATTCACAGGTAGCCAAATGTCTGTCACAGGCGACGCGTCTCGGTGTCGCTGGCCTCAGGCGTCAACCACTCTCCGTGTCAGCTGGGGTCTTGAAACGGTGCTGTGAAACGCAAATCGGGCGGCTGCACTGCTGACTGGCCGCGCTGAGAGGGCTTAAAGCCGCCCGGGGCCTGCATCTTCACTCAACCTCACCTGCTCACCACTCCGCCCGCAGTCAGGCTTCCGTGTTTTCTTGTTGGCCTCTTGTTGGCCTCTTGTTTGGTATTGCCGTATCCTTCAAGCGTTTCTTGTTATCTCTGAACTGTATTTGAAGACGAATTGACCCGGATTCAGTTCGCGGCCAGTTGAGATCGGTTGCAGGGGTACATATGAACGGTGAACGTAACGGTGAATGTGAGTGGACTGTCTGGTACGTGTGAATGCTTGAATTGCTGCTTTTCCTCTCTCTTCCTCCATTTGATATATCGCATATTCTACCCTGTATATCTGCCCTCTCGTGTCTGTTAAGCCTGGAGGGGTTTGAAAATGTCTTTTTGCAGCGTGGGGGTGTCATTTCCGCATGTTCGTCAGGCCAACCTTGCCCACGCCCGCTTCATTCGCTACCTTCCTCTTCACCTCATGCCGCACTTGGGCGTGTCATTTCACCTCTCTGTAATCCTGCATTCACTCCTTCACTCACTTTCTTTGCTTCACTTCGGAAATGCTTCTCATTCCTTCCGCTCCACGCTTTCCCTCTTCCCTACCTCTCCATCCCTTTCTTATTCACATTGACTTTGAATAACGAAAAATACCAACCCTTTGTATTGTGCTTCGTTCTCTGGACCCTTCAAAACGCGGAGCTCTACGGTATTGAGTTCTTACTTTCTCACTCTATTCCACTTCCTCTTCCGCAGACTTCATGCATAAGCAGATTTTCTTCTTTCTGAGAACCTTTCCTACTTCTCCACAATCTCCTCTGGAATGCCACCATCGTGATGACGGTGTTTGAAGCTCACATTGGTTCCATGCTCAGAAAGTCCGACCCTCGGTACACTTTCGGCAGCTACGATACTTGTTGCAACGGCGGAGTCGACCAAAACAGCGTCTACTCTCTTCCAAGCCTAGCGCATCCTCACAATATAACTGGCTCTGATACAGCCTTGAATGAACAAGCTAGTTACGGCAATCTCTATCCACCAATCGTTGGTACGCAATTCATCTGCCCCAAGTACGACACGAGCTCCGGCGTATACGTGACCAAAGACCGCCTCTGCCAGATCTCTTCCCATATCCCGTTCGAGTCCGACGAATACGGACTTTATGGTGATCTAAAGCTCAACCAGAGCCTCTTTCATCTCACTCCCATTACCGAGCTTCCCGAAGCTGAGTTTGCCGAGTCATACACTAGCTTGTCCTGCCCAGCCTACGTCCCTAGTGATTTGTGTGGAGCCCTCGAGCTTATCGCTAGCGGAGAGCCACTTCCACCTCCTCCTACGGAGCCATTGAGCGAGAACTTTCACGCTAGTGTCAAGCATTTCCTCTCAACCATTACCGCTTTTTATCCCCCAGGCGCCGATTGTCCGGCCTCGGTTGAGGTAGTGAAAGAGACAACCCTCGACGTCACCAACGACCTCGCCGTAGCCACGAGTAAGCACATATTGGTCGCTGCCCAGAACCTGCAAGAGCTTGAGCGCGTGGCTTGCAATCTTGGTGTCACGAAGCTTGAAAACGTTCACCCTTCTGACGAGGCCGACGACAAGATGGCTGGTCGATTCCCCCTTCTCAGCACCTCAAACCTCCCCGCTGCCAGCGCAGAGGAGGCCAGAAACACCGCCTCTCCTGCCCGTGGCACCGCCATGCTGAACAGCATCTTCAAATCTGTCCGCGTCCCTGAATTCAGGTTCAAATGGCAATTCTGGGCCGAAAAAGGCCAATCTGGCTCTACCCCGGCACCAAAAGACAAGGCTAGCATTGACGAATACGCATCCCGCCCAAAGCCCCTCGGGGAAACCATCATCTCGGTCAAGGAATTCTACCAACACTTTAACAATATCCCAACTGACTCCCTCAAACTCCGCGACTCGATTCACCTCTTCCATCTCGGCGTGAAACCTCTTTGGGAAGATCCACGTAATGCGCGTGGTGGCGCTTGGTACTTCAAAGTCAAGGAGAATGCGGCGCAGATCTGGCATGAGATTTGTTTACTGGCCGTGGGAGATGTGCTTCAGGGTGCCGTGGAGACGAAACGGGAGAGTAAGTGTTATCCCCCCAAATCACCATTCACATGTACATTCACATTCAATTCACATCCGTTGACCGTTGCATAGCTTTTAACGACGATATCTGCGGTGTCAGCTACTCCGTTCGTTGGAATACTGTGCAGATTGCTGTCTGGAACCGGGATGCGGAGAACAAAGAAGGCATCGATAGGTTGTTGCAAGTCATCCTGGAAAAATTATCGGATGATATTAAGCCGAAGGGTAAAGATAGCTATTGGTACAAGGCACACAGTAGCCATAAGGACTATGTTGCGCCGGCTGAGACCCAGACTAGGGATGCTTGATGGAGTAGAGGCTGGCGAGATTGATTGTGGCGGATGTGATTGTTGGATGATGATGCTTTGCCACATGGCTCGTCCCTGTCTGCAAATGGGTTTTGCTTCATGGGGTTGGAAAGGGAATTTGGATTGGATGGTGAGTGCGAAATGGCTGTTAGGGGATACTGCTAGCCTACATTCGACTGACGGTAAATGTATCTGATTACTACATGTTCTCACTTCATGTAAGGAATATGAGTAAGGTAAAGTCTACCTGTTAATCCTCTGGCTTGAATTAAGGAAATCGAAAATAAAAATGTAAATATATATCTGTCCTGAATTACCCCCCGATATATTCTGCATTCGGTGATGAAATGGAGTAGTAGAGTTAAGTAAAGTTGCACAGCATGGTTCTCCTGCATTGGGTTGTGATTGGGGGATCTAGCGATCGGCCTTGGCAGAAACAACCTGCCTGATCCTTCGTTGCAACTCCTGGACTCTTCGTGCTCAAGTTCCCCATCTGTTCGTTCTCCAACATCACACGTGTCTCCTTGCTGGCGGAGACACTAACGCAGCAATTCTGAGATCATCTCAACTCCAACTCTTTGGGCTATTCCGCTGCTTGGCTGTGTTCAACCCGAGTTCAGAAACGAGGTTGGATCTGACAGCGATGTAAACTGCGATGATTCAAGAGCGACATACGAGACGTTATTGAGGAGATGGTGTATCGTGGGAAGCCTTCAAAGTCATGTGGCGAATGTAGGAAGAGGAGAACTAAGGTGAGAAGAAAGGTTCCTTGTACAATTCACAATCTAGACTTCTCCCGTCGTCTGCAGATGTCCGAACTCAAGGCTTACTATGCCCTTCTAGTGCGACCAATCTGCACCTGCTTGTGGGCAGTGTGTCAAGGCCAAAAGGGTATGCCCCGGTTACCGGAATACCGTTGATCTTATGTTCTTCGACGAAAGCTGCAATGTCACCAAGAAACATAGATCTAGAACTCCCACTTGTAAGGACTCGGTATTAGGAAATCTCTTTCATGCCGAGAATTACAATTCTGTAGCTCAACATAGAACTGCGGTTCGCCTTACGGACGTTGTTTTCTACCAACCACTTAATGAGCTGGGGGTCAATTTCTTTATGTCGAACTATGTTGGAACAGATGCGATGCAGTCACAATTTGACTATCTACCGGAATTTTATCTCCGCAACGGCTATTCCTATCCCCATATTCGGGACAGTATCAGAGCTGTTGGCTTGGCTGGGTATGCGAGGCTCATGCGTCAACCAGGCTTGGATCAACCCGCCGCCCAAAAATATGTTGCCGCTATTCGAGAGGTGAATCTTGCTTTATCAAGGCCGGACACTGCAGGAAACGATGCCACCCTTTTGTCTGTGATGTTGTTGGGTATGTACGAGGTGCTGATCCGCCCACGAGAACAAGGACTCGAAAATCTTACCAAACATCTGAATGGTGCCATATCCATCGCCAACCTAGGCGACAAACAGCGATGGAAAACAGACCTGAGGGGAAGGCTATTGGGGACACTGAACCAAAATGTCATCATGAACTGCTGGATTCAAAACCTCGCCGTACCAGCCGATTTCTTGCGCCTTAAGGACCAGATGCGCGAAATGTCAGATCAGCATCCTGACCCACATTCCAATTTTCTCGATTTAATCTTGGAGCTCCTCAACTTTCGGTATTTCCTGGAGAATAGGATTTTCGAGTCTCCAGCTGCAACGATTGCTGAGGCTATCGTTTTGGACAACAAGCTGCTGAACTTCGTGGAGAACATGCCAGAAAATGGACGCTTCAGGGTAATCCTAAGTTCCGGTGAAGACGACCTGGTATTTAAAGGATACTACCACGCGTACGCTCGAAACTTCACAGCACACCTCTGGAACAACGTTCGGTCATCCCGTATTAGGCTCCACAATGTAGTCCTTGTTCAGTGTCGTCTCCTGCAGAATTCGGCTTCGCAAGTTGATATTAGCTCGCTTGATGCTTGCGTAAAGGTTTCAGAGGCTGTGATCAAGCAAGTAGCAAGAGAGATTTGCGCAACTGTGCCGCAATTAGCAGGATACATGGTCCAGCTTCAATCTTACAAGCTACCCCAATTTTGTCAGCACTACTCCAAAGAAGAAGATGGCAAGGGTTTGACCAACGCCCTCTACAACAACAGAGTAACATCAACTTCCGTCCCTCCTGGCAATCACTTTGCGGTTAAATCAACGCCTCTTCCCTCTGTTCATGAGCCTCCGGCTGATCGTTTACCACAAGCTGTTCCTTCCCTCCCGATTCCGAAGCCACAGAGCTTGTACCACATTCTTTATCAACTCCATGCACTCTCGTCGATTGATTTTCTACCACCGGACATGCTGGCCTGGATAAACGGGCGCATTGCGTGGGTAGAAGGGATCGCGACTCCAGATAACCTGGCGCTGCTTAAAACGATGCTGAAAAGCAGATTTACTGAATCTGAGGTTCGGGGTCAGATTAGGGCAGAGCAAACATCGCACTTTGAAGTCTTGTGGCTGGGGGGGATATCACCGGAATAAGAAGATACTCTCAGGCTTAGCTAGAAGGTTTTAATCGGGATGATATTGCAATGTGGAGTGTCGACCGAGGCAGTTGCTTACCTGCGGGTTCTTCCGCTGCTGGTAGCCCCGTCGCGGGTAAGATACTCTATGGACTACCTCTCACCGCTCTGGGAGTATAGGCCCACTGGCTCGGGCCGACGATAGGATTCAAACACTTTAAAGAGGGCCGTATTGCTTATGCTAACTCCTGGTGAGTCTTCGTGAGGTTCATCTCACTCCAAAGATTTCCTGCAACGCCAAGTCCAAGCGGTTGAAAGATTCTGGTCATTACTCCGGCCCTAGTGCTAAATTAAAGAATGTAAAGCTAATTGGGTCGTCGTTGGGCAGTCGGAATTTATCACGTATCCCATCTAGGAGAAGACTTTCCACGATAAAAGATGATAGGAAAAACCAGAACACAAACGGCCCTAAGAACCCTCATTGGAGGCCCAATTCCGTCTCCGGTCGAAGACACAAATCTGTAGAAGAGTGTACGGATCCCAATTGCTCAAAGTGCGGAACACTTGCTCGCGGACGTTTAGAATCAGTAAATTCTGGATATGTCACACCTTATCTCCCCCCAGACGAACGACAATTGCAAGGCGCAAAATACCTCCCATCTGATCAGCTTTCTCAACCATCAGGCCCTTCGCCGTGCCCTCCGCCCTTCTCTCTGCAGCAGTCGGGAGCTTACCACCCTTGGCTAGCTAGGTATTATGGAAGGCTAACTTAATTACCCTCTAGCCTGCGTGAGCGCATCGACACCATTACCCGACCAACCAAACAAAATCGTCCACCAAGCTATACTTCACCGAGCTACAGTATGCCATTCTACGCATTTGGCCCTCAGCTAACTACAACAACCCATTTGAATATACCGTCCCCTTTGCCCCCGTATCACACTTTGGCTCCTAATTCCATGGGACCCCTTCGGGGCATGACCTTAGCCCTTTCTCCTACTGCCTAGCGTGTTCCTAGACCATCGGCACCAAATCCAAATCATGTAACGATATCACCCGAGAGTCTCCCATATCAAGGTCAGTGGTCCTTTCCCATGAGAAAGACTGCAGATCTGGTTCGGAAAGCTCTGGCTACACATCAACAAACGAACAGAGTGAGGGCCCGCCTCTTTCTTTTTCAAGATCGAAGATTTCTACAAAGCGCTGGCCCAGTCTTGATTCTAGACGTCCAAGAGAGCGGCCCTCTCCCATCCCTCGCGTAAGTATAGTTCAAACTTGGCACACACTGATGTCTATATTGAACGGACAATGATCTAACTTGCTCAGACGCAATCATACGTGACAACGGGACAGAATCAAGTCGTCGTCGAATTTTCTCGGACTAGGCGCGTCAGAGTTACTAGAGTTACCCCGAATATGGGGTAAAGTGGTGGGATCAATAGTTAGCAGGAAGGGGTCAGCTAAAGCGATCACGATCCAATGATTATGACGTGGAAGCCCCAACTTCCCTGGAAGGCTCCGCACCTATTCAACGGGAATTAGTTGTGCGAAGCAGGTCCAAATCCAGCGCGCTCTCTCTAAAATCTGGCACCATTTATCAGGAAGACAAGGGCCATCGCCGACGGGTGCGACGAGAGAGTGAGGCAGCAAAAGTGAACCTTGGCCAGGAGTCCCCAAAAATCCGTCTCAGGAAAGAGCCAGTTGCGGAGATTAACCACGTCAGAAAGGAAGTCGAAGGAAGGCGAACGAAATCAGTTGCAAGTAAGCCAAGTATATCCGTAAAATCTCCATCTTTAGCACCTCTCCGTCGGCCACCCTCACGAAGCATATCCCGAGCAGATCGCGGACTAGCGATATTTGAGATCGCGGTCGAATCTTCGAAGCCTCCTGCTCACCCGCAGTATCAGTTATCGTGGATTGAAAGTGAACTAGCACATGTTAGCTGCGATGGCCTGTTTAGTAACATGTCTGACGGGCCTAATAGCGATATCGAATCGCTAAAGGTTATTCCTATGACGGAATTTGAAATTGGGGGTGGAATTGATAAGCCTATTGCACAAATTAGACGCAAGAGAGGAAACAAGAACACCAAGAGAATTCTCGCAGAATTCTTTTGCTTCAAATCCAAACCCCTCCGCTGAGGACATTCAGACCCTTGTGAGAACAACCGACCTAGAATCGAAACGGATCAGAAACTGGTTCTCTAACGCTCGAGCTCGAGGCATGGATGTGTATGCTCAGAATGTTGCAAAGTTAACAAGCGATAGTGAAAGCGAAGAAGGAGTGGGAACAGCAGCCGCCAATGCAGAGAGTGACGAAAATTCCCGAAGCAACTACGAAGACCTGGGGACGTTGCTTGAAACACATGTTCCTACAATTAAGAACACCCTGTTTCAAAACCTCCTAAGCCACGCAATATCCGGAGCTACAAGTGCTTTTGCAAATTCCCAATCCTCTGGAACATTGTCTGCACTGCCAGGAAGCCGAGAAAGTACGTCTTCGTCGTCATCGCGAGGATTAAATCAATCTCAAAGTCAAAAGAGGGCTTGAGATGGGGGCGAGATCCTGGGGATGGGGGGGATGATTCTGACGACGGAGAAGACGATCGTCCACGGAAAAAGATTGAGGGAGGCCCCGCGAATCGCCTCCCACAGCGGTGATTGAAATGTCCATTCTACCAACGACAACTAGAGAAACATTCACGTGCGGCGTGTAGAGGAGAAGTATTTGCTGGTATGGGGAAATTGACGTGAGTTAATAACCTCAATCATCCTCTGTTAGCCCAACTAACGCGAGATAGTGATCAAATTAAAAGAGTCCATACTCAGCCTCTTCGATGTTCTCGGTGTTGGAAGGAAATGAGATCTGATGATGCATACGCTTCGCACCTCTAACAAGAGACCATTTGCAAGAAACGGGCTGAACCAGCGGACGATCGCATTTTACCCTAGATGTTGAAGCGCCTGGACTTCAAGAAGTCGCCATTTGCTCAAGCTCCAAGTACAGAAGAAAAGTGGAGCATTCTTTACTCAATGCTATTTCCAAATGAGAGGGACATATCTTTGCCCTGTAAGCTTACCGCCGCTGCTTCGCTTTGCCCCACTTATTGTTGGTTAATTGAACAATAGAGGACCAGCATGGTATCAACCCACGATTGGAAAGAGTTCTGTGCGAAGCGCTCGAAGAGGAATTGATTAGAGAACTTACACCCGCGCTACAACCTATCCTTCGGAGGATTAAAGAATGCATACCGGCCATCATTGAAAGCTGTAGACAACAGTTGGCGCAAACGTCGTCTGATACGGACACGATATATACGCCTTATGGCAGCCTTTCTATGGTGGGAAGTAGGGACGGGGAGCCAAAAGACACGCAAAAATTCTCCGAGTCGGGGTACAGCCCAATGCTCTGAGGAAAGGGTTGGAATGATTGATATAACCGAGGACTTTGATGTAAAACCCTCGTCACACAACCTCAACCCGGCGGTTCTTCGGTTTCTGGATCCAACGCTAACTCCCCGCAATCCTGTCACGGTTCCTCGCCGGGGATCAGCCTAGAATTTAGCGTGACAACTGTGGACGAGGCAGAGTTTCCCAGGTCGGGTGGAAGTGATGATTGCGAAGACCTTTTTACACGAGACTTGGAGCTCTCATACCCCGTCCCTGGAAGCTCTTCTGGAAGCGGCATCGATACCGCCACATCATACGATGATCGAAGGGTGGGTGCACGAGGACGCGCGATTTTAGGAAGTCACCTTTGAGAACAGCCATAGCAAGACCTGTCACAGGAACAAAACCCACCACTACAATACAACAACGACCAAGGGGTTGTCGGCGGGATATTTCCGCAGGACCTATCTCTAGATGGTAGCTGGGATTAGATTACTGCGCAGGGCCAGAACTCGCATGCCGGTGGTAAGCTTCTCCCATCAGGGCATGAGTGGGGTTGCATGTTGGAATATTTCGACTTGGATAAATTCTTCAATGACTGATAATCTTCACCATATATCGTCGACAAGACGCAATCATTGTTGTCCGTCAAAATCTTGTTTATACTAACAACGTTTCGGAGCTGAGGTGGAAATTGAAGTTGTTGTAGGCCAAAGTTTCGAACAGATATTCGCTCCGTTGAGTTTCCAGTCTCTTACACTTTGGGTCTCCCCCAGCAATACGTACCACCGTTACATCTTTTCATATTCTTTTCTATCTGATTAACTCGCCAATTGGCAACCGTACGAACCAAACGACTCACTTCACCTGCTCCGCTATTTTCGCTTGTTCCGCCGCCTTTACGAATCCCTCAAACAAAGCAGGCGGTTTAGCGCTAATCAATTCCTCAACATTCAAATCCGGATCCCCCTTCTTCATCGCAGCTCGATATGCCGGCCTCGCAGTGCATCTCTTCAACCACTCCAAAATTCCAGGATAGTCTGACAAATCGATTGGCTCAAACTTGCGCATCGTCGTCAAACAGAAGACACTCATAACATCAGCAGCTGTGAACTGGTCTCCGGCCAGCCAAGTGTTCTTTGCCGTCTGATCGTCCAAGAGCTTGAGTGCGGTATGCAAACGCTGATCCGTACTGATGAATCGTGGATCCTCTAGACTCTGCGCCATAAATCGCGCCGTCATTCGGCGACCAATGGTGGGCTGGAGGTTGCCGTTTGCGAAATGGAACCAATACAGATAGTTCGCGTAATCTGGATGGGATGGGGTAAGCGCAAGGCGACCGTTGCCATGCTTGTGGATGATGTATTCTGCAATTGCTCCTGATTCAGCGAGGACGAGAGGATTTTCAGGGTTGAATGTCGCGTCTTCAATAACGGGCGATGCGCCCATCGGATGCTGGGTTTTGAGTTCTGGTGGTGAGAAGAGAGGACTGCGCTGGTAAAGTTTAAGCTCGTACGGCACGCCGAGTTCTTCAAGGAGCCAGGGAATGCGCTCGCCTTGGCCAACTTGTAGATGGTGAACTGTTAGGCCTGGCATCATGGAAGGAATGCAACAAGAGAGTTTCCGGGTGTGGTGGTCAAATTGCGAGGTCCGCTTGTTTTGTATCCGTCATCGGGGTTGGATCTCCCCGTTGCCGGCGGCATAGCCCTCCGAGTCCCGTTGTTAGTTTGACGATTCAAGTGTGAGATGACACAAATAACGTTACGGGATGCGGCGTAGGTGTCTGGTGTCGGCCGAACTTCAAGACAATGACTAATGTACATACGGAGTTCCACTCGTGGGACCTAGGCATCAACATCAACGTTAAAACTGCAAGTGTGCATGCCCCTCTGAACACTTTGGTCTTGAATGCGGTCGGTTATTTTCAAGCCTCCAAAAATTAAGCAGGCAAATGCCTTTTTTAAGTTGTACCAAACGGAAGACAGAGTATGTGCAATTAATAAGGAGTTGGTGTTGATTAACGACTGGTGATGGGCGAAGGGACAAGATTATTCACCTGCGGTACCGAGAATCTCTATCTAAGATGTTAGATATAGCTTTCTTGTGGTATTAAGAGGTAGTTAGCATTCTATATAGAAAGACAACATGGTTATGGTGTTGCTGGGAGAGCCACATAGTGTCCAAAACACCCAGCGCTTCCAACCGTACGTACTAGGACTCAGAAAAGTGAATAGTTACGGTCACGTGAGCCGTACAAATGTAAGAGGATTGTCAATTGTAACGTACAACTAGGAGAGGTCCCCTTAGAGTCTGTAATACGTCTTAGAAAGTTAATTTTTCCTAGTAATATAGAACCTAATTAGACATCTATAGGCAAGCGTTAGAAGGGCTTTTAAGGGGGCGTTTTTAAGTAACAATAGGTGAAAACTCTGTTGTGTGCTACAAGCAAAGACGTGTTAAAGGGGGGGGGGAGGCTAGAGTATTAAATCTTATGTAAATAACGTTAGTTAACTTTTTTACCTTTCATATTATTTTTTAGTTATAATTTGCTATTTTCTTACTTATTATAAGCTAATTATCTTAATTCCTTTAGCATAGCAGGCGTATAGCCTTATCCTAAGCTAGCTTCTTTTAATAAGCTAAAGTAGCTTATTATGCTAGCTTTTATTATTTTATTTACTTAAAGACCTTATTATCCTCTTTATTTATTAGCTTTTATAATAAAACGCTAGTAGTTAAATTTATAAAAAAGTTTCTAGCTAATAATTATTTTAATAATAGTATAAACTTTTTTATTAAGTAAAATAACTTTTAGCTAACAAATAAAAAGCTTTTACTAAAAAGGCTTAGTTACTAACGTACTTCACAGGCAAGTTGCTTACACACCTAAGTTGCTTACTTTTACTAAGACCTTACTACACTACTTTTTTTACACTAATGCATTTCTAATAACACTACTTAGACATGTTAAAAAAAATTAAATATAGCTTATACTTTAAGCTTTTAAATAAAATATAATACTTTTTAAGTAATATGCTATAGCTATTTATAAAGTTTTTTAAAAAATAATAAGTAACTAACATGCTAAATAACTTTTTTAAGTTAATTATATAGCTAAATTATAAAAGCTAGATAATAATAAAGAGAAAGTAATTATTTAGCATATACTTAAGCTAGATGTGTAAGGATTTCCCTTTTAGCTAGTAGCTATAGCTAATATAGCTAATTTTTTACATACTAAGCATAATATAAGCTATATTAGTATAAACTAGCTTAATATATTTATTAAGCGCTACTTAGAGCTTAAAGTAAAGTTTAAGTATAACTAAGTATAACTATAAAAGAGCTTTTTATAAAAATTTTATAATAATTTAAAGCTAGTTTAACTTTATAAAAAATACTAAAGCTAAGTATAGCACATAAAATAATAACATATATAACTTTAATAAAATAAAGTTTATAATAGGCTAGATATTTACTAGAGTAGTTATTATAAGTTTAAAAAGATAAAGATAGCTAAAAGTAGATAACAGCTATTTAAGGCATTAATACTAAAAAGTAAGCTATTCTACTTTTTATTATTTTTTAAAGTAGTAATTACTTTTTAAACTAGTATAAAAAGGAAAATCTACTTTAAAATTAAGTTATTATAGTCTTTAAATATAGCTAGACTACTAATTAGCTTAGTCTAGACTAGTTAAAGCACTTTAACACGCATATAAAGAAGTGTACTATTAGTAGCTACTGTCTACTAGTTATTAATAGCTATAAAAGCTATAACTTACATTATTTTTAGTAATACTATAAAAATAATAAGATTATTACTATTTATATACTTTTTTACTTGTTACACTTTTTATAGCTACTTAATATAAGTTATTTTACTTTTTTAAAAAAAGTGTATAGACGCTAAGCTAAAAACTTTATACATAACTAAATTACTTATATTATAAAAATAAAGTTCTTACTGTGCTTTAAAGTAGCTTATAATGCTATAATTACTTTTAGTAATATTTAAAAAAAGGTTTAAAGCGCTATATTAGTTTTTTTTAACTTATAATAACGTACTTTACAGGCGAGTTACTTACACACCTAAGTTACTTACTTTTGCTAAGACCCTACTAAACTACTTTTTTTACACTAATGCATTTCTAATAACACTACTTAAACATACTAAAAGAATATTAAATATAGCTTATGCTCTAAGCTTTTAAATAAGACATAAAACTCTTAAAGAAATATACTATAGCTATGTATAAAGTTTTTTAAAAGATAATAAATAACTATAGCACTAGATAACTTTTATAAGCTAATTCTATAGCTAACTTATAAAAGCTAGGTAATAAAAAAAAGTAAGTAATTATTAAAACTATACTTAAGCTATATGCGTAAAGATTTTTCTTTTAGATAGCATTTATAGCTAATATAGCTAATTCTTTACATGCTAAGCATAATCTAGGCTATATTAGCATAAACTAGCCTAGTATATTTAAGAAGTGTTATTTAAACTTTAAAGTAACATTTAAGCATAGTATAACTATAAAAAAGCTTTTTATAAGAGTTCTAAAGTAATTTAGAGTAGGTTTAGCCTTATAGAGAATATTAAAGCTAAGTATAGCATCTAAGATAATAACATATATAACTTTAGTAAAATAAGCTTTATTATAAGCTAAATATCTATTAACTATACTTATACTTAAAACTTTACTTTAAGCTTTAAATAACACTTTATAAACACACTAAGCTAGTTTATGCTAATATAGCCTAGATTATGCTTAGCGTGTAAAGAATTAGCTATATTAGCTATAAATGCTATTTAAGAGGAAAATTCTTACGCATATAGCTTAAGTATAGTTTTAATAATTACCTGCTTCTTTTTATTACCTAGCCTTTATAAGTTAGCTATAAAATTAGCTTATAAAGGTTGTCTAGTGCTATAGTTATTTATTATCTTTTAAGAGACTTTATACATAGCTATAGTATGTTTCTTTAAAAGTTTTATATTTTATTTAAAAGCTTAAAGTATAAGCTATATCTAACATTCTTTTAGCACATCTAAGTAGTGTTGTTAGGAATGCATTAGTATAAGAAAAGTAGTTTAGTAAGGTCTTAGTAAAAGTAAGCAACTTAGGTGTGTAAGCAACTCGCCTGTGAAAGGTGTGTAAGCAACTCGCCTGTGAAGTACGTTAAGTTATAATAAACTTTAATATAAAGTTATGCACTTTATTACTACTACTACTTATATATAATAAGCTTTAGTAGTTATAAACTTTAAGTAGTACTTTAAAACTTAAGTTATAATTAATGCTTATAAAAATAAAAATTTAAAAGTATATAACGTACCTAACAGGTTGGCCGGCCACACAGGTTAGCCAGCTACTTTTGCTAAGCCCTTACTAAAACTACTCTATTCTAGCGCAAAACAGCCTACTTTAGCCCTATATAAAGTAATATAACATAAGATATTATTTAGAGTCTACTTTTACTACTTACTTATATATATGTAAGTTATGCCTAGTTTAATTACACTACTTATATTACTTTTAACTTAGCTTACCTTTTTTAGCGCGCACTTATGTCTTTAGCTTTTTTTTATTACTACGCGCTTTAAACTCTTGTAAAGTAGTTAAACAAGCTTTATTTTTAATTATTAAAGTTTTTTTTACTTAAATTTACTTTTTTTTATGTAATCTATATTACATAGTAGCTTTATTTACTACTTAAAGCTTTATAATCTTCTTTTACACTAACACTAGCTTATACATAATAATTACTGCCTCTTTTAAAACCTTTTTAAAAGCCTTTACTATAAATATTAGTAAGCTATTTATATACTTCTAAATTTTTACTTTTATAAATGTTAATTATAACTTAAATTTAAAAGTATTACTTAAGGTTTATAACTACTAAAGCTTATTATTAATAAGTAGTAGTAGTAATAAAGTATATAACTAAATATTAAAAGCTATTTTAACTTATTTTAAGTTAAATAAAACTAAACTAGCGCTTTAAAACTCTTTTAAATATTACTAAAAGTAATTACTATATTATAGGTGTGTATAAAGCATAGTAAAAACTTAAGTTTTATAATATAAGTAATCTAGTTATATATAAAATCTTTAGCTTAGCGCTTATACACTTTCTTTAAAAAAGTAAAATAACTTATATTAAAAGGCTATAAAAAGTGTAATAAGGGTAAAAGTATATAAATAGTAATAATTTTATTTTTCTTATAGTACTACTAAAAGTTAAGTAAGTTATAGCTTTTATAGCTATTAATAATAAAAAGCTAATAAGCGCTTATAACTTTTTTTTATATGCTTATTAAAGTGCTTTAACTACTATAGCCTAAGCTTATTTATTATCTAGCTATTTTTAAAGACTATAATAACTTAGTTTTAAAGTAGATTTTTTTTATACTAAGTAAAAAAGTAATAGCAGCTTTTAAAAATAATAAAAAGTAAAATAGCTTACTTTATTATATTAATGCTTTAAATAACTATTATCTGCTTTTTATTACTTTACTATATTACTTTTAGCTATTTTTATCTTTTTAAAGCTATAATAACTACTTTAGTTAATATTTAGCCTATTATAAAGCTTAACTTATTAAAGTTATACATGTTTTTATTTTAAATACTATACTTAGCTTTTATGTTAGCTACTAAGTAAAACTAGCTTTAGATAACTTTTAAATTTTTATAAAGTGCTTTTTTATA